GCTTCTCGAAAACGTCCATGGACGGGACCAGCATTGGCACATCCACATAGCTACGCTTATCTCCTTGACAATAAAAGAAGCGCGACAAAACGAGACAAGAGCGCCGAAGAACTCCACATGGTCGTTGGCACGAGGCTTCGTTGCTATCAGCGGAAGCTTTGCCTCGCCTGGCAGCATGGCACATTGGCATTCCCATGGCCTGACCCGCTGTTTTCCGTCTTTGCTTGGCATGGCCTGTCCAACAGAACCCTCTGGTGATCACCCATACACCAACACAACGGGGCGCAGTAGGATTCTCTGCTATCACAGAACAATGAAGGATGCAGCTTGGCTGAGTGGCAATAGCGGCTGCTTATCTCTTTACGCCCCGTCGCCATACTGATGGTTCTCGATTGAAGACAGTGTCTAGAAGCTCATCATAGACCTTGAATCGAACTATGCACATGCGATCGGGTCTTCCGAGTCATTTCCTGGCTTATCAACAAGGTCTTGTGTGGATGGCTTCTGTGGTCTTAGCGCTGCACATCGTCGCTGCCGAGAACCGAGAGCATGCCATAAAGGCCAAGACAAGCCAGGGAAACCGCCATCCATGTCCCGCCTGACAGCAGCAGCCGTACCTGAGGACAGACGCGGATATCCTTGGTTAGTGAAGCCGCTGAATACCGGCCGCCGGGTAGCGGGAGCGATGCTTGATGCCTATGCTCTTGCTTGTGCATGTAGCGTAGACGTTCACACGGGTTATGCATCGTTCACCGAAGTCTGTCAGTAGCTTATGGTCAGCGCTGGACCCAGCTAATGGACGTTTTTCGAATACCGGCATGAATATACGACTACCCCGCATAACTGTAAAGCTCAATAACGTTCTTTAGTCGACTACGGGTTGATTCTTACCATACAGTAGCGATTGGCGTACTCCGGCTAGCAAATTTACTACATCTCGGAACTAGTATTCGGTTTCAACATATACATTAAATGAGATCAGTCCGGGTGGACTCGGGCCAAAAGAGAGCTTAGATCTCGAGCATACATCACTGAAACATATGTGAATGAAGTTTCTTATCAATGTATTATCATTAATCATCTAAGAATAAGTTTCATCAATGTTGTCATCAATGCTGAAGACCATGACTTTTCCCCATCTAGTTACCGATGGGCAGGTCGCTCAGAGGCTCACCCTTGGACCAGTGGTTGATCCAGTTGAAGATCTCAGTGTGCCAGAACAAGCTGTTCTCCTGCTTGAGCACCCAGTGGTTCTCGTCGGGGAAGTTGAGGAACCTGGAGGGAATACCGCGGGCCTGGAGGATGTTGAACAAGCTCAGGCCGTCGCTCTCGGGCAGACGGTAGTCAAGAGTGTTGTGGATGACGAACTGGGGAGTGGACCAGTTGGCAATGTGGTTCTGGGGGTTCCACTCGCGGTACGCGTTGGAGTCCCAGATGCTGCCGTTGTAGTCGTGGCGGATGAACCAGAGTTCCTCAGACGCCCATGCACCCTCGGTGTTGGAGATACCGTCGTGGGTGACGAGGCACTTGAACTCGTTGCCGAGGTCGTTGGCCTGTATCCAGTTGGTCATGTAACCACCGTAGGAAGCACCGGCGGCGATACCGTTCTTGGTGTCGATCCATGGCATGCTGCTGTTGACGTAGTTCCAGGCGTTGACCAAGTCGTGGTATGGCCAGCTACCCCACTGGCCCTGAATGGAGTCGGTGAGGAACTGTCCGAAACCGGTAGAACCAGTTGGGTTGGGTGCGACAATGATGTAGCCTTGGTCGGCCCAGACTTGAGGGTTCCAGCGGTTGGACCAGCTGTTGCCCCAGTTACCTTGAGGACCACCGTGGATGTAGAAAGCGAGCGGGTAGGTTACGTTCTCCTGCCAGAAAGTAGGCTTGACAACGTAGGCCTGAAGCTGCTGCTTGAGCTCAGGGTTGGAACCGTTGAAGAAGATCTCGGAAACAGTGTGGGATCCGAGACCAGCGAGGTTGGGGTCGACCTGAGACGCGTCGAAGAGGGTCTTCTTCTCTCCGTCGGCAAGGATGTACCACTCGCTGGGAGTCCAGATGGCGGTAGCAGCGACGAACAGCGAACCATCAGGAAGGAGGGCGAAAGCCGAGACGGATGTGTTCGAGGTCATAGGCTCAGGGACGAAGCTCTCGTCGGCATCGACAGGGAAGTTGAAGATCTTGACGCGAGCGTAGTCATCAGCAGTGACGTAGATGGAGGAGTCGTCGTGAGCCCAGGTGATGGGTCCCTGAACCCAGCGGTCAAAGCCGGCACTCAGAGCCTTCCAGTTGCTGACAGCAACACCGGTACCCTCAACAGCGACGTCGACAGTGTAGAGTTGCCACCTGTCCGACTCATAGTAGTCCTCATCCTGCTGCACGTAGGCGAGCTTGCAGCTGTCGGTGGAGAAAGAAGGGAGACCAGAGGCACCCTTGTGACCAGCTTCCGCCGCGAGAGAGTCTGGGCCGTTGAAGGCGATGGGAGCGTCGGAAGACGCGAAAGCACCAACATAGGTGTATGATGCGGTGTAGTTGGCCTTGTTAAGTTGAGGGGCCTTGGTCACGAAAGCGTACATAGAACCATCAGGGCTGATGTCGTAGTCGCTGGAGTCACCAAACGGCTGGATGGGAGTCTCGGGCGCAGTGGTGGTGAAGTTGATGCCCTTCTGGATGTTGCGCATTCCAGCGCCGGACAGCGCATAGCTGTTGTTAGCCGAGAGAGCTCCGGCGAAGAGATTGTAGCGGTTCTTGGTCAGCCAAGTGTCCCAGTGGCGGACATAGTTGTCGGAGTAGTAGCGGGCAGTAGTCACTGGGGTAACTTCGGTCTCGGGGTTGACGGCAGTACCATTGGGGTACGCCATGCAGTTTACGATGAAATGCATGTCTCCAGTAGAAGTGTTTGCGACCTTGAGACCGGAGTATGGCGCATCCAAAGAAGCGACCATTTTGCTTGCGCTGGGGTCCTTGATGTCGCCAACCCACAGGGTAACACCGCCGGGAACCTCCTCGTTGGTGCCATTGATGTAGATGATACCAGTCTCGCTGCCGGGAATCCAGGCGACCTCGTTGATCTCGCTGGCATTGAGGCCCGACTCGGTGATCTCGCCGGTCTTGAGATCGATGAGGTTCATGCCAGAACCCGCACTGCCGTGCTCCTCGAAGGAATACTGGGAGTACGAGAACAGACCGACAGAGCCATCGGGACTGGCGTCAGCGACGCCACGTCGGACGGTGCTGAGGAGTCCTCTGTTCACTTGTTAGCAGTTGCGCAAGCAACGGAATGTGATGGTAAACGTACTCAGGCGTAAAGGCACAGGCGCCGGTAGCAGCCAAAGCCGCGGCAACGCTGATGTATCGAGCCATTTTGTATGCGACCAGCTTCGTAAAAGCTCAATTGGACAAGGTCGATGGTCGGAAAAGCTCAGGAAGGGCAGGCAGCTTATTTGTACAACGCGCTGCTCGGTACCTAGCTGCAGACCCTGGCTGGACGATATTTTGCCAGCGGGGTTTAGGGACCGGTACCTGGCTGTGATGGCGCTCCTCGTTGGCTACGCACTCGGTGATGGCATCAGGCGCGCCCTGTAATGCGGTTGCTGCTATACCAAACATGTGGATAGATGGGCGCTGTTCACGACCGCTCCTTCCTGATGCAGGCTAGCGCTGCGGGCGACAAACAAGCTCGCCGTCGGTGGGAACGTAGAAAGCATGTTTCTGCGTCGTCCTATCGCGACACGGCCCACAGGTCCCGCAGTCGTGGCTCAGACTTGGCGGCCATCTCCATGCAGCTCTCACGTGAAGCTCCGCAAAGCTCTCGCCCAGATTGCTCGCGGCCGTGCCAAGACGCGCCGTCACGATCAAGCCCGGTGGCGGATAAAACGGCGCACCCGAAGAGGCAGGTCGATAAAAAGTCCAACACCCAACTTTTACTCATCGATAGCCAGTGCGGCGTTGCTGTGTCGCTTGTATGCTGCCTTACCATATGGAGAGGCTGGGAGTCTTGATATCGTACGGGCTGCCTCGGTCTGGTTCGGGCCTGCTGCGCGCCTAATGCTCTCATTCTTCCCTTTGCAAATTGACGATCGGCACCTGCCTTGCCTGGCTTAGATATGCAGACCCTATCGATGCAGCTGCTTCTTCGCGTTCGTGATGGCGCACGCTGTGACACCTCGATGACATCGAACGAATGGGCTGAGCGGTCGCCTCGTATCGCATCCAGCAAACTGCGCATTTGCGCTCATGGCAAGACGTACGTACCTTGCTGTCCGCTTTCCTGCTGCACGTCTTCACTGATCCGATCTCTCTTGCTTTCCAAGGCACTACCCCATATCTGCGAGCGTGCCAAAGACAAAATACCGACAATGCGGCAACCGGTATCTGCGTATCCACACTCTCGGAAGCCGTTCGTTGTCATTGCGGCTGTCGCGCCTCGTCCGTGGTCTAGGGATAGGAACCTGAGTATTGCGCCTTAGGGCTTAACAGCCGCAGTGGACCCGTGCAGTAGCTTTTCCGATCTGGTTTGATATTGTCGTTGGCAAATTTATCGCGATATCTTGATACCGTGCGACAGTGGCATCGCAGTCAAGTTGGAGACTTTCGTGGTTGATGGCGTCGTAGCTTCCGAGCTGGAGATCGCGCTTACCCCGCGCCCTCACGTGCCATGTGGTCCAGGACGCGTCGGACGCGTTCGATCGCGTCTCTACAACACCAAACCTCTCCCTACGGCCATCATCGAATGTCTTCTTGTCAGCATGGTTCGGAGCCGTAATATTTGGTATTGCGCTGCTTGAGGGTCAGCTAAGCGACATGTGTGGTAGCCTGACGACCCCCGCGGAAAGTGTCAACGAAGGCTAGAGTGCGCCTTTGATTCAGACTCGGCCTGGCCTTCATTTGGGCAGAAAGACTCAGCACTATCAGATGCAGTGTGATCGTACTCAACTGAAGACAACTACTACTATATGGCTTCTCAGCTGTACGCCGCAACAAACGAGTCGAACGCCAACGGCCTATTCTTCCTCCTCAGAGCTATCCTCTGCCGACGGATCAATAACTTTATTCAGTACTGTCCCTCCGTCAAACCTCAGCGTTTTCCGCAATTCGTACACGGTGGCTTCCAGATCCCAAACTGCGTCGACCAGTTTTTCTCTAGCCTCACCAACTTGATATCTCAGAGCACTGGCGTTCCACAACTCGTCCACAACGCCTACTACGCTTATCCATTCCTTCAGCTTCGTGTTGGCGTTCTTCGCGTCCTTCGCTGCTGTTTTGAGAGCCGGTACGAGCAAGTCCTCTTCTAATCTCTTTCTTCTCCGTGCTTCTTCGCTTATGTGTGTAGCGTGGTGCGGGTTTTCTTCGAGGGATTCGTAGAGTCCTTTCCATTCGTTCTTCGCCTTGACAATCCTGTCGATATCGTCGGTGTTGGCAGTGGTGGTGCGAGGTGTGGAACTCATGGTGTAGATGACGAAGAAAACAGGCGTTAAAGCATGATGTTATAGCCGTTGTGAGTTTGCTATTTGCGCTTGCTGTGCATGCATGATCATGGAAGGTTTCATGTCCTAGTTGGTGCACTTTCCGGGGGTCTCAGTATGTTCAAAACAAAGGTAAAGGTATAGCTTCATGTGGAATCTGGCCTTGACTGTGAAGCGTAAAAGACTAGCTGCTCGACTTTGAGAGACATAAATGCATGTATGGATGGCTCGATGAGACATAGCCCCGTCGATCTTTTCCTGCTCGATAACAAACGTTCCCAAAACAAGTCTGATCACTACCTTCCCCGAAGCAAGTCCAGGTATGTCGCGCAAAGCAGTCCCAATTGTCACGAAGCATCATCCCGTATTTTGTTGCCAAACTCCCGCAAACTCCACTAACCCCAGTAATGGAAACCCACGGATGACCTTGACCGATACAAACTTTTCCAAATCAACGCCATGAGCCTCCAATACTTCAAATACCCCCAGGTCAATCATTCTCCACCTTTCAAAAAGCCGAAATGTTCAACGCTTCTCCCGCTCTTCTCATCCTTTGCTTGAGACCCTCCACTTCCTTCTCCAGCACCTTTGATCGCCTCTCAGCTTGTGCGCAGCGTGCCTGAATCTGACCGAGCTGATCGCGAAGAGCGTTCTCGTTGTTAAGCGTATTAGCGTGTAGTTCTGCCAGCTCATCGTGTTGAACTTGGATGCCGCGGTATGCATTTTGACTGAACATGCTTTCGTTTTTGACTCGGCTTATCTCCGCTGTGAGTCCGTTGACTTTTGCTAAGAGCTGATGGTTTACTGTCATCTGTGCTCTGAGCTGTCCAACAGCTCTAGCTTGCGTATCGATTTCTGCTCTTGGCTGAGCATTTGCTCTTTCGCTGTTTGCCAGCCGGGCTTCAGCACTGATTGTGATGATCGGATGTTCTGGGCTTAATGATCGCCGTATCGTGGTGTGCGATGGATGTATCTACAAGAAAGTTAGCTTAGAGTGATTCAAGCTATCGCTTATACGCACGATATGACTGTAGTCGCGACGCTTGATCCTCGCTGCCATCTGTTAGTTTGTTCAATTAGAAGGATTGCGGACCTTGTAACTTACCTGCTGTTGGCTTAGGTTCATCATCGCCGGTACGTTTCTTGGATGCGACAGTGTCGTGCGTCAAGTCAGTGAGCTCTGGCCCTGGAACTGATGTCGCAGCGGAAGCTAGTACGGTATCCGGTTCCTGTTTCTGGACTCTTGCGTGAGGCTTTGGACGGCTGCCCTTGTTTGCGATCCATGCGCAAGACTGTTTAAAGTCGAGCCAGAAATGATTGTAGTCGCCTACCTCGTCGATGTAACCAGCAGCTAAGAAGTAGTAAAGCGCCATCGCTCGTACTCTGTTGCACAGAGTTTGCTTGCCAACTGAGAGGTCTCCGACGTCACAAAACGGTTCATCGATATCGACATGCTGAAGACTGCTCTGTTGCACGCGACAGATGCTCGAGTCTGGGTTGACATAAAAGTACCCAATATAATGGGTCTTCGATCCATGTACGTAGACATAGACCAGCGGCTTGAAGTTGAGATGCGGGGCGTCGAAGGTACCCAGAATAAGTACCATCTCGGACGCCTCCTGTGGCCAATGGGTATCGACTATTGGACCAAAGCTTTTGCGATGGCTGAACTTGACGGTCTCGAAAGTTGGGAGTTTCTCAAAGTCATCGGGTATAAGAGAACGTGCCTGTCTGGAAATCGTTTGTGTGTACCAACTCGTTACGCTTTCATCGATAGTGATGGGATTGTTGACGTTGGTATATGTCATGGTAGGCGATTCTTGCAGTCTAGCACCGCGACCCAGTGACTGGAGGTTCTAACGGGTTTATTAGTATTCCACCAATAGTAAAGTTATGCTGCACGCATAAGGTAGTGTACCGGAGACAAGGGAAAAGGGCCGAGAAAGTGTGTTAGTAATTAGATACGATGGGAGGCAAGGTCTAGACCTCAAGGAGATGAGAGTTTGATATGTAGAGAGATTCTCTCAGACTTAAGGTGTACGAAGTGATAGAATAAGGTTACAAGAGCGGTACGTGAGAGTGATGTGTACTTAGGCAGGACCCGCACCTGAGTGAGAGTATACGAGGCTACCTCGAGAAGCTACCGCGACAAGGTAAAGGTCGTCAACGCGAAGTACGATAAGATGAGAATTCTCATGGACACTTTTGACAAAGATAATCGATCAGCATCACCGCGGCCCTGTCAATTAGTGCTGAACCTTGGAATAGCCTGTACGTATGATCGTAGGGACGCGACAGGCTCGTTACCGCGCGCATGTAGTGATAGAACTCAACCGAGTAGTGTCATGCTCAGTTCGCAAATGAAGAGAAGGGTTTGATCGTTTGTGGACTGCAGGCGGTCGGTCGTGGGCGAGATGGCTGATGACGTCGTAGTTGCCCTAGTAGGTATCTCGTTATTGCGGCACAAACATTCTGGGAGCCACCACCACCTCGTCTCCGTCCTGACCATCGTCAAATTCCACCACACACCGTCTTCCATGCCATCAAGTCTGCGGCGCTTTCGTCCACGCGTACAACGATCGGAATGCGCACTACCATCGGCTGTCAACCGGTTCGGCGGACTTTTTCAGCCAGTTGTTGCCGATCTCTCCGATCCCCGCCATTCATCCCCACTATCAGCCAGTAAAGCTTGAGCCGCCCTCCGCACGCTTGACTGATCTTGTACTTACGCCCAGCTTTTAGGCTGAAGTACGGTGCGACCGTTAGACTTCGTTTTGTTTCCTCGGTGGGAGATGTCACGACAATTGCTGCCGTAAATGTGCTAATGACGTGTTGATCATGAGGAAAGCGTGGTGACCTATAAAGGATCTTGGGGACGGCGGCCAGTATGTGGATATTGACCGTTATCCATTGGCTTCAATCATGCGACTATTATTCACCACACTGTTTTGCGTGCTGGGCGTTGCTGTAGCCGAAGATGGCTCACAAGGCTGGCTGCGCTATGCTCCTATACCGGACGGTCCATGCGCACAATCAGTACCCCCGGCGATCATCGCTTTGAACAGCACGAAAGTGAGCCCTGTCTACACCGCAGGCCAAGAGCTTCAGAGAGGCGTAGAGGGCATCATCGGACGAAAGCTGAACGTCAGCTCGACGGCAGACCAAAGCCAGTCTGCCATCATCGTCGGAACTTGGGACGCCTACGTAGCCGCGTACGGAAGCATCGATGAATGCGAGAACCTGGACGAAGATGGTTTCTTCCTCAGCACAACTACTCCCGGCAAAGTCATAATCATTGGACAGAATGAACGCGGTGCTCTCTATGGAGCCTTTGAGTATCTTTCTCAGCTCGCGCAAGATAACATCACGGATGCTTCAACGGTATACAACCCGCAAGTACCCATTCGATGGACTAATGAATGGGATAATATGGATGGCAGTATCGAAAGAGGGTATGCTGGCCCTTCATTATTCTTCCGGGACGGATTTGTCGTAGATAACACGACACGGGTTGCTGAATACGCTCGCCTGTTGGCATCAATTCGTGTAAACGGCGCCATCATCAACAACGTCAACGCAAACGCCACGCTACTCAACGATCGCAACGTGGAAGGCCTTGGTAGACTCGCTGATGCGATGCGACCATGGGGTGTGCAACTTGGCATATCCCTCAACTTCGCATCTCCGAATGCTAGTCTAGGCACATTCGATCCTTTAGACCCGAAGGTAGATGCATGGTGGGCCAACATCACCAACCAGATTTATTCCAAGGTTCCAGACATGGCCGGTTATCTCGTCAAAGCAAATTCAGAAGGACAGCCTGGTCCATTGACCTACAACCGAACACTCGCAGACGGCGCCAACATGTTCGCGAGGGCAGCCAAACCCCATGGTGGTGTTGTCATGTTCCGCGCTTTCGTCTACGACAACCACATCAATGAGACCAACTGGTACAACGACAGGGCGAATGCGCAATTGGAGTTCTTTCAGCATCTCGATGGAAAGTTTGACGACAATGTAGTTGTTCAGATCAAGTTCGGCCCGGTATGTCTACAGACGCTATCTATTCAAGAGCAGACTAACGTATCTCTGTTTCCCCACAGATTGACTTCCAGGTTCGGGAGCCAGCATCGCCACTGTTTGGATCTTTACGGCACACAAGCACGGCTATCGAGCTCCAGATCACGCCCGAGTATCTTGGCCAAAACTGCCACCTAGTCTATTTGGCTCCACAGTGGAAAGAGATCCTCGAGTTTGACATGAGATCTGACAACCAGTCATCCAAAGTCAAAGACATTATCACTGGAGAGCGCTTCAAGCGACCATTGGGTGGCTATGCAGGCGTGACAGGAGTTGGATCAAATGCGACGTGGCTAGGCTCACATCTAGCCATGTCCAACCTGTATGCGTACGGTCGATTAGCCTGGGACGCGTCCGTTGACCCGAAGATTATCCTGCAAGACTGGATTCGATTGACATTTGGCTTTGACCCGGACGTGCTCGACACCATCACCGATATGTCCATGAGGTCGTGGCCTGCATATGAAAACTACAGCGGCAATCTCGGCATTCAGACACTGACTGACATTTTGTACACACACTTTGGACCAAACCCTGCTTCGCAAGACGGGAATGGGTGGGGTCAATGGACGCGCGCGGATGCATTCAGTATTGGCATGGACCGCACCGTGAAGAACGGCACTGGCAATGCTGGACAATACCCGCCCGAGGTCGCTCAAATCTACGAGGACATTGAATCGACGCCGGACAATTTACTGCTCTGGTTCCATCACGTTCCGTATACACAGCGACTGAAATCCAACAAAACTGTGATTCAGCACTTCTACGACGCACACTACGAAGGTGCTGGTGTTGCGCAGGAATTTGTCGGGCAATGGGAGTCCTTGAAGGGCAAAATCGACGATGAGCGATACGAGCATGTATTGTTCAGGCAAACGTTCCAAGCTGGCCACTCGATAGTTTGGCGCGATGCGATCAACGAGTTCTACCACAATCTCTCACAGATAGCGGACGAGAACCAGCGCGTGGGCAATCACCCGTATCGCATTGAGGCGGAAGACATGATGCTTGATGGTTTCATGACTTACGCCGTAAGCCCTTTTGAGACAGCTTCCGGATATACGGCTATCGTCACCACATCAAACTCCACAACGGGCGTCGCGACCGCTAATGTCACGTTCGCCTCGGGAACGTACGACGTCGCTGTCAATTACTACGATTTGATTGGAGGTAAAGCGAAGTACGAACTCGAGGTTGGCGATCGGATCGTAGGTAGCTGGGTGGGGGATCTGGAAGACAAACTGGGACACGCGCCGAGCGTGTATCTCGATGGGCACTCCGCGACGCGCATCACGTTCAGAGGTGTTGAGGTTCGGCAAGGTGACGTGGTGCGACTCACTGCGCAAGCTGATGGGATAGAGCCCGCCCCGGTCGATTACCTCTCATTCTTGCCACCTGGCATTGTTGACTGAGTCGCTTGTGCAGCAAGTATGTACAAAAAAGCAAAAAAGATGCGAAATTGAAATTGATGTCCTCGCATTCGCAGACGCGACAATCTAATGTTTCCACTGCCCAGTCGGCTTCATTTCCACTACCGGGTTCCCCTGCGCGCCTCCCGCCCCGCCTAACCCACAATAGCGACTTGTCTCCTATTCCCCCAGGCATGGCAACACCATAGCCCAGTCGTTGGTGGCTTTCGGCGACGGGGAATTTCACCTGCACTCCCGCAATTTGAGGCAGGTCTCTTGCATTAGCCACCGCTCTGGAGACGCAAAGCCCAACAACACCCAACCCTCTCTCAAACAATGCGCAGCCTATTTTCTTCGTAAACTGAGCGTGATCTGTGTCTCCCCCCTTTCGCATCCAACGTCGTGGGCCACCAAGTAACCGGCGGGCACGCAAGAGCTTGAGATCCGTGCCGTACGCCAGTACTTCACGATGTGACAAGCTCGTCAGCTCCGACCAAGCCAACACACCTTCAAAATCGCCGACAGGCATCGCCGTCCCCAAAACAAACACGACAGCCACGACAGCCCGGCCACGCCCTCGACGTCTTTTTCAAAGTGCATATTAGCATCAACTTTGTCAACGCGCATCCAAACTAATGTCGCGTCCTAGTACGGTCGCTGCCCGATGCGCTGCGCTAGGAACTTCGATCGCCCAGGTAGCCGCTTCAGATGTTCGACTTTGCACCTACACGCGCTAACGCCCAAAACAGGTCATCCCGGATATCAGCAGCTTTGCTCGCAAATTCCGCGATGCTCGTCACGATCTGAACAAGATCAACAGTGATCTGCTCGTGATCAGAACTGGGCTGAGTATTGCGCAAGACGACTTTTCGGCAAAGTGGGCCGAGCTGCCGGCGTCTCTGATCGATGCTGTCTCGCGAGTTTTGGACTCATGCGACGATACCTGTGAACGATTGCATAAGGCTTTTCTTAAGCTCTCATGTGGTAGTAAACCGAAAGAGGACTGGCGTGTGCTGAAGGACGGACCTTTGGTGAATCTACGGCATGATCTTGACGCCTCAAAGGTGGTGCTAGAGTTGTGTCTAGACTATGTCGCATTGTAAGTTGTTTGCACCAGGAACGACGGAGCATTGCACGAGAACTGACTCAGCTTAGATTTTGCCAACAGGATACGATGGATTCGTTACTTCAGAATTTTGTCAGCGATCTCATCACGCAAAGTGATGAATTGCTGAAGAAGACGGATACAGATGAGATTTACGTGAATCAAACAGCACGCGACAAACTGTCTTCACTATTACAGGCTGTCCGTCTGCTTCGATCATGTATCACAGCTATTAAACGGGACGGGCCGTCTGCATCACAACTAGCAAAGAGGACTACTCTCCCACGTCCAGATTCCCTAGAGCCCGCCCTTGGCGAGGAGCCTCGAAGCGGCAGGAAGAGCCCCCACGAACAAGCTTCAACACGAAACAGCGCTAATGACGGCATTGGCACATGGCTCGCCAACGTTCCGTCCTTTGAAGACGCGCAGACTCTCTCTTATTCCGCACTTGAACAAACATCTGTTCCCAGGCGACTTCTGATACCGCCATCCCGGGAAGACATCACCCCATCGCGCGGCACATTCTACACTGACGACGGCGCGGCATCCAGTCCTACCCTAGTACCACCGGAATCTCGACTCAAGAAGTCATACAGCTGGTGTACTGATCTCTCAGGGAAGGCGAGTACTCGGCTACAACTTGCGTCTAGACACGCATCAAAACAAGCATCAAAATACACATCAACGCTGTCCAGCTCAGACGTCTCCATTTTTCATAGGAAGATCACCTCGGACCGGATAGCTGTGACAAAGGGCAAACGAAAAGAGTTGGAGCCGAACCAGAGGGCTGCGGTAGATCGAATCCTGGCAAACATACCAGCGGAAGCAACAGCTGCCGAAGTGGAGAGGGTGATATGGGAAGGCGCAAACCCCATGGCGACGCACCCAGAATTCGGATACTTCTTCATTCGAGTAGCGTACGAAATGTCGCCAGACATTCTTACCCTTCTCTTGGATTTTGGGGCTGACATTACTCGTGTCAATCCAGCACCATCGTCGTATTACTCCGCAATGCATGCCGCAACATTAGGACGGCAGCTCGCCACTGTCCGTTACCTTGCTTCTTTGGGCCACTCGATCGACAACCCTGATCATGATGGAGAAACGCCCCTTCATCTTGCTTGCAGGACGCCTGGTGCGTCTGCGATAGCAAAGTACCTTGTTGAAGCTGGTGTGGACGTGAACTTTGAGGCGAAGAACGGACGCACACCACTACAGTCTGCCCTCAAAGCGGTGAGACTCGAGGGCAAAGAGAGAAGCATGTTGATTGAGCTTCTGCAAACACATGGCGCTGAGGGTGAAGTGAAGAGGGATTTGGACTGTGGGAGGGGTAACGAGAAGGGAAGACATGTGCTTGGATTAACATGAAATCCGGGTTGATCAGGACAAAATGAAAGTTCCTTTGTTTCTGCTTCCGGTGGCGATCATTACTTCTCTCATTTTCGGGCCTCGCGCCATATCTGAAATAGTAGAATTGTCATCTGGCTCCGCTTTGTATTCGCAGGGTCTCTTCAGGCGTTGTTATAATACGGTGGTCAACTGAGAATGGCGAAATCGGAAAAGATACCCAAGATATTGTATTATAATCATAATCGATGATGTTGAGGCCCTCTCAATTGACTCCGATGCTGCTCGATACTACATCCAGCATGTGGTTGATCTGGAAGGTACTCTGGACGCCGAAACGTCTCTAGCCGCCGCTAACTTATCGTGAGGTCCACTCTTCGTCGGCCAACTCCGCTATCAAGGACTCACTCACCTCAACTTCCCACCCATCCCCAAAGCTTGCAGCACACATTGCGCCTTACGACGTGTATCATGGTCAATATGGAGAACGCATACAAGATGTGGGTGGAAGGGAAAGAGGTGGAAGGTCGAGCGGAGCAGTCAGTTAGCGGGACCCCTCATTCGTGACCCACCCCAATTGCTAACAGCATCACAGGCTCGCCGTTGAAGACCCCGCGACTGGGGAGATCTTCGCGCACTGCCATGCCGCATCTGCGGCTGATGTCGATGATGTTGCCCAAACTGCACACAGAGTCTTCAAATCGGGTGTGTGGTCGAAAGCCCCGCGCCATGTGCGTGCGGACACGCTGGACCGAATAGCAGAACTTTTGACCAAGAATCTCCCGAGGCTTATCGCGCTGGAAGTACAGCAGACCGGACGCGCTATTCGTGAGATGAATGCCCAGGTCCCGACTCTTACGAAGTGGTTCAAATATTACGCCGCGTTGATACGAACCGAAGAGCGCTCTGTCCTGCCAACCGTCGGTAAACTACATAATTGGGTTGACCGTAAGCCGCTCGGTGTAGTCGCGCAAATTACGCCGTTCAACCACCCAATGTTGATTGCTGTCAAGAAGATCGCACCCGCATTAGCCGCGGGCAACTCCATTGTGTTGAAACCAAGCGAGCTGACGCCGCTCACCAGCATTGAGCTTGGCAAGCTTCTGAAAGAGGCCGGCTTGCCCGACGGCGTCTTTTCAGTGTTGCCAGGCGACGGCATCACGACCGGAAAGGCTCTTGTGGAGCATCCGCTCATCAAGAAAGTCGATGTTACTGGCGGCACACCAGCAGGACGCGCCATTGGCGCCATCGCAGGACGCAACCTGGCACATTACACCGCCGAGCTTGGTGGTAAGGCTCCTCTCGTCGTGTTCGAAAAAGCGCACGTGGATCTTGCAGTCAACGGCGTTGTGTTCGCAAGCTTCATAGCCAGTGGCCAGACGTGTGTGGCAGCGACGCGTATCATCGTGCAGAACAACATCATCGATCAGGTAGTGGAGAAGCTGAAAGCCAAGGTGCAGAGCATTGAGAGGCGGATGGGATCACCGAAGAATGTGGAGTCTATGATGGGTCCCCTCATATCGGCGAAACAGCTCAGTAACGTTGAGACACTAGTCAACGACGCAAAGGATGCAGGTGTGACGGTTGTCACAGGTGGCCAACGAATGACTCACAAATCTTCACTGGACGACACCGACTTTTCGAAAGGCTACTTCTATCCACCAACAATACTGGCGGATGGCACTGCGAAGAAAATTATCGATACGCGCATATGGAAGGAAGAGGCTTTCGGTCCTGTTATCGTTGTCGTAGGCTTTGACACGGAAGAAGAGGCACTAGAGCTTGCAAACGACAGCGAATTTGGTCTGGGCGCTGCTATCTGGACGCAAGATCTCTCACAAGCCTTCCGCGTGTCGGAGAGCATCGAGAGTGGTATCTGCTGGGTTAATACGCACCATCGTAACGACCCAAGCTCTCCGTGGGGCGGCATCAAGAGCTCAGGAGTGGGCAGCGAGAACGGTGTCGACGCTTACAATGCTTATACAACATCGAAGAGTACGATTATAAACTATGCGACCGCTGATGAAGGGCTGGCTAGCGATGACTGGTTCAGGGAGGGCGCTGGCGAGGTTAGATATGGATGAGAGATATCGTGTCTCGATATAGTGAAAGAGAGGCCGCTATCAAGCGAGGCGTCATGTTTCGTAGAAAGAGCTATTCTTGAACGTCTTGTGTGCTCTAAAATAAGCACAGTGAAAGAACACAACAATCTGTGACTGACACCTCGTGGGAACTGGTGTTTTCGCTGACGGGGCTCTTGCGAATGACCTAGGCCAGTGAGAGAAAAGGTTCGTGACTATCATCGGTCACTTTATATGCGATCTACTGTTCTCTCAACCCCAAGCATTCTGCTGAACTAATGTCTAGATCTCCAACACTATTGTCCGGTCATGTCGAGCACTAATCAAGATGCGCCAGCGTGTGCACCATCCGGAAGTCAAGGAAAGACCCACAAGTCTAATTCATCTCTGACTCTCTCTTCCACTTCGAAATCCAGATCTCCTGCCATAACCCCAACTGTATCAAGAGAGCGAGGCACAGACCCTGATGCTCCTTGGACGGCCAGGTCATGGGTAGGAGGATCTAACAAGGGCAACATGTTTAGAGCACTACAAAAGGCGGGCGAAGACGTCAGTGTATCTGGCAATGCGCCTTGGAAAGACTTCACGGCAATGGACTTGGCTCAGGCATTGGTCGCCTGTCGCAATAAGCGCATCGATCAAGGACTCATCGAAGGAACACGAATCATAGGTGGTGACTATGAGCGAAAGCCGCGATCCATCAGCTCCACCAAAAAGAAAGATATCCTCCGTATACACACAGCTCCAGCGAAAGAGCGCGAACCGATCTCGAAACGCGAATCTCTGTTCATTTTAAGGAGCCTCCATTCCCACCTTAAAATGATCAAGAACGCTGCTATTGACGAGGCAGAAACCTCACAGCACGGCAGCCTACAAGCGGGAGTAGATGGCATAAATGCATTTGTCAACCCTTACCCAGAGCTGTGCAGCACACCCGGGTTTGAGCTTGACGGGACACCTCTCACAGGTTTCAAGATCATTATGGACTGTTTTTCGAAGCCCATGATATCGGAAAAAGCCCAAATGCTGGTCCGCACGGTCTTGCACCATCAACACGAACTTGTCTTTTACCACCAGCAGTGCCGAGAAATTGACGGTGACAGGAAACACTACTTGGCATGCCTAAAAGAAGTCTACTATATCCAAAGGACTGAGCTGTGGCGCGAGATGATGAAGAGTGTAAGTGTTGATACTGATAGTGAACTCGGAAATCAGGTGGAGGCTATTGTCAACGACACGTTTGTCAATGTAGATGATCTGTTGAGAAATGGTCGACTTTAGGAAGGCCGTGACGAAAGTCCGATAGTGTTAGTCTGCTAGACATGTAATAAATCGTGCTCTCGAAAGCTAGTGTTGCGAGCGGGAGTGCTTTGGCGCGTGCCATATGGAACGGAGGGGCAAACCTTGGAAGTCCGGAAATGGCTGAGGTCACGTGGGGGAAATTGCATCCGGAGGGTGACGTCATCGTTTTGGCGAAACTTTGCGACGCGTCGCGTTCAACGGCATTAACACCACCACCCAGCCACAATTTCAACAGCTGTCTCCAGTGCACACTCCTCGTCCCAAACTACACGTCTTGTTCAAAGGCTACGATCAGTATCGGCAGCATGAAGCCTAATGCTCGACCAACTGGCCATGCAGCGGCCTACCAGGGGTGGCAGCCAGAGCGGTTTTCAGCGCTCACTCTCTCCAACTCAGCAAGCATGGAAAAGGATCGAGCTTGATGACAGACTCTGGAACAGTTGTTATACACCTTATCATGGCTGACTACTAACATTACAACAAGACAGCTGTACACAAGCAAACGTTCCTCCTCGCGTCCATAACCCCCGAGCCTGCGATCGAATATGCTCCCGCACTCGATTCGATTGACCCGCGTCAAATGCCGTACTACTCGTCATCTAGAGCGAATTCTTCGTCTTCAGGATCGCTCAAACTCCACAGCATCTTGTCCTCCTCAGCGCAACGCTCGTCCTCGGCATCCAACTCCCGATCGCCGATCCTGCCTGGGTACCCAGGTGCCAGAAGCTTGTCGAACAGAATCCGTCCACCAACCGCAACATCGTCACTAGCTTTGGCTCGCGAGACAGCACGCTGCTCTTCGTGGTCGAGGTTGTCGGTAATAAATGCAGGCAGGGGTGGGATGTAGTGCCTGAACTGATGGGTACACCGACCAGTCTGATGGCCAAAGCGATACTGCTTGCTGCGGAAGCGCTTGTTCTCAGGACCAGGAGCTTTCGCGCAAATGTCGCACTCGATCGTCTCCTTTACAGGGCACGCGTCGGCGTCATGCACGTCTGCCTTTTCGCAGTACCAACAGAACTGAGCAGTGCCCCACGTCTGAGGCGGGATAGCCTTCTTCTCCTCAGCAAGATCGGTCCATATATCGTTGATGGAACGGCCGGAGATGGTGCTGTCTGACGGGAATTGATTGCCATGCGTACCCGGAAACAAGACTGGGAAGAGGACAACGAGAAAGAACAGTGTTGTCTCATACACCGCATCATTTGAGCTGTTGTGTAGCCATATGTTGCTTGTATCGATTTGGAACCCACGAAGAAGCTCGACGAACCTCGGCAAGCTCTCCCCGCGTTCTTTGTTTGGAACAGCGACGATACCGGCGTGGCTCGCCAGTGCCCCAAGCGATCGGATCGTGAGAACGATGCTGTCAAGCTTAGCCGTGTTAAGGTTCCATTGCTCCTTCAGCTGGCGCTCATCGTTGTTCAGGCCTTGACCAAAGAAGATCACTGGCCTCTTCGAGCCATCGTCGCAGCGCTGGTTGTCGAGGAACTGGGTCACGACTGCTTGGGCCTCAGATTTCGTAACGAAACGCGTTTGACAAAACCTTGGGTTCAGCTCAGTATCACCGAAAGGGATACCAAACTTATCTTTCCCCTTGTTCCGCATGTGACACGTCTCCACGATGCGTAGGTGATGTACTGCGAAGTTTCGAATCAGGTTCTCGAAGTCGCTTGGGCTCTTGCAGCCACGAAGCTTCTTCATCGGGAAGACGACGAGACCGCTCTCGTTGATTATCTCCATTGGCTTGTCGGGAGGTTGGTTGTACCATTCGAGGTCTAGACAAACTCCCAGCGTATCGTCCCACTTTGCCGGTGCGTCTGGGATTGGAGTAGTGCTAAAGCTGCGGACGAGGTCAAGAGCTTTGCGACCCTTGCAGAAAGCCTTGACACCCTCAAGGGTGTTTGGATATATCGTAGTGGTCGAAGCCATATTGTGTACTCGTGGTGTATGACTTTGACAGTTAGCGTAGGTCACAGATTGGTTGGACGCTTTCCGTACCTTTATAAATCCGGTGATGGGGAAGTGGTAATTCGAGAAACCAGATCTGTCGACTTCGATATGGATTACGCAGCTTTCGCGTTTCGATATGACGTATACTGGTCGAGAAGTCGGGTTGAGCTTCGCCACGATGGTCTTTTGGAGCAGAAAGCAATGTTTATATATTGATAGAGGAGAGTAGCCTGGGAACTAGCCCGTGAAATGCCAGGAGAAAGACTCGATCGCCTCAGTGACGACGTATACAGCGTATGCCCCCCAGACAACATAAAACATATTCATTGCCTCCGTTACTTACGTGCCTGGGCCGACACAGAATCCGGAGGCTGGGCTTGCAAAGTCAGTGTCGACATCGAGCAACTAAATACCGGAAGCTTTCAAGCAGGCAGCAAGCCGGCTATTCGCTTGATCGTACTTGGAAGCCAAAGTCTAGACGGTGACAAGCTTTGGGTAGATATTGGGCAATTGGCTCTTGCTACTGGTTAGATGTCTGCGAACATGTGTCTGAGTCGTTCCGTGCCTTGCAAAGATATTCCGAGTTCAGTGTTTCTCATCTTTGCATTAGCAGCAAGGGACATATGGTCTTGGAAATGGCGTTCAAAGACGTTCCTACTGCTCAAGGGTTTCATACTCTTTATGAGTGCTGTCAACTGGTCTTCTTGCAAGCATGACTAACGTAAATCCATCCCCCGTAGACTTGCCAAGCTGCCTTATGCGTTCACATGCTAAGGCTCAACCAACTTCTCCAACACCTCATTCATAGCCCTATCCGCCTCGCCCATCCTAGCCTCGTTATCCTCTCCGGGAAGCTGCCATGAGAGACTATTCTGTAACCTCTCCCAGAACTCCAAGTAATCTCTCATCGGCCCCTCTAGCACGGTCTCAACCTCATCCGCCGGAGTCTCAGCGCTGACCTGGCGAAGTTGTGCTGAGATATCGAGGAGGAGCCGGATCATGTGCTGAGAATACAGGTCGATCATGATAGGCGGTGCGGCGAGGGCTAGTGACGTCGGCTCGTGGCGCGCACCGAATCGGTCAGGGTCGAGAGACAGGTCCTTCTCCTTGAGTATGTAGTCCTTGGCCAGGCTGAGCTTGCTGCGCAACATCCCGTGGTATTTCGCCTCTTCATCGGGACCGAAGTTGGCAAAGTCAGGTGCCTCATTGGTTTTGGCGTCGACGAGGGTTGCGACGGTGAGTTTTAGATGCTTGAACCCGTTGTCTTGTTGGTTGAATGCGACTCTTGAATCGGTGTTGCGGCCACCCCCAACCTGACCGGAGACCCAATGGCGGCGGAAGTCATCGTCGCCAAATGCGAGAGCTGTTTTGTCTTTATCGTTGACGCCGATTTTGCGGGTGCGTACGGGCATTATGGGTGTAGCTGGGGTTCAAATTTGCGGTCGCGGTAGGAGTATGAGAGGGAGCAAATGATCGAGTGATTTCACGACTGCGGCCTCGCCGTAGAAGTGACTAGAGAGCGGGGGTGCACACAGGCAGCATCAAGGCAACGAGGGCAGTGTTTGGTGCAGAGCTGGAGTGTTGGTGAGCACGGGCCGCGAGTCGCATTCACTACCGTATCGTCATAAGTTGCTCTTGTCAAACAATTGGTAGAGCGACAGATGGGTCACAGTGAATGTACTACTTCGTGCGCTCTTGACCTAGAACAAACTATCTAGGTAGTCTGAGCTTTCCAGCCACCCAATATGGACCTCTAAGCCACCAAGAGCTTGTTCCGCCTCTAACATCTTTTCAGCATCCTCTAAAGCAGTCTCGGTGGCATCACTTAATTGCCTGGTTTCATTGTCATACGCGACTACCTCCATCCGTTGCGGATCATACTGTCCTTTGTGGTAATAGCTGATACCGCTCTTACGAAGACGTCTCAGTAGACCCACCAGTGCCATGGTCTCTCCTTCGATGATCATAGGGAATGTTGGAGTTTCGGAAATGCGGATCTTGTACCGAAAGTCGTCCTTTACTGGGTTGCATGCTTCCATTAATCCATCGCCCTTTCGATCTTCAATTTCGTCGGGGTCTGCGATGCACCAGTTACCATCTTCATAAGGATCGTAAGCGATGTGCGAAAGCTCCCACATCATCAGCTTGATACCTTGCGCGCTGATATACACATGCGGCTCGCAGGACTGTCGAGCGGCCGATGGCGGCGACTGAAAGATGATCCGTGAGGGTCTCCACGACGCCATACAGTCATTGAAGGATTCTTTCGAAGTTGGGTCCTGAAATATACTTCTCATCTTTCTAGCGTAGCGGAAGATGTCACGACCAATCTGTCGACTGTATATGAACGCAGCTTGTTGTGCGAAGGCGTTGGCGAAATCTTCCCTTGTCAACACTCGCGCTATCTTAGCGATCCTGCAAGTGCACGGCAGGTCGACGAGGGTGTTGGAGTTTGCTGTGTTGTAGGCTTCGTGAAGTTCCTTTTGTGGGTTGTCTTGGTGCCAATCAGGCTGGTTTTCATCCTCATGGGTATGCTTGCGTTTCAGGCCTGCGAGGGGCGGGATATATGAGCGCGATTTTGGTTCATCGTGGGATTCTGGTTCATCATGCGATTCTGGTTCATCGTGCGCAAACTCCGGAACACCTTGTGGTGTCGCATCCGATGGAACATGGTCTGCAATTTCCTTGGGCTCCGCATGCGCTGCGTCGTCATCGTTCGCTGGAGTGGGGTCATAGCTATCTTCTTTCCCTGCTTCTGGTACTTCCTCACTGGGAGTTGACTGTAGTACTGTAGAAGCTGCAAGATCCAGATTCTTCTCCTTCCGTACTTTGACGTGAGCCAGTAGAGCCTCGATTATTGCATCTGCGGATGTCTTCGGGGCCTGTAGAGATTTGATGTCGTACCCATCGTCCTTTAGCAACTTCAATCGTTCGATGTTGTTGGCTTTCTGCTTCCACGTCTTTTTATCCCAGACTTTGTCCAAGCTCAGCCCCTTGTGAGCGATGCCTTTACATGCTTTCTCTTCCCAGATATGATCTTCTGACGAGATTTTCGCGCATGGATGGTTTTGTGAGATGACAGGAGCCGCCTTAGGTGGGTCAGTGGCTGGTACAGCCAGACTGCGGGCGAGAACATCGGAGTGCAAACTTATCGGCGTTAAAGGTAAAGGAGGCACGAGGTGCTCGGGGCTGTTTGCTTCCTGGGTGCTAGAGACATCATTTCTCGCGCGCATCCGCTCAATGATGTCTTCATCTGGGTGTTGATAGTTTGAACCATTGGCAAGCGCTTGCGCACGACACAGCTGATCGATCGTGAGATCCTTCGGCTTACTGTTTTCCGTGTCCCACGCATGGTTGATACAGCGAGGCTCAAAGGCGACAAAGCGATTAGTCTTTTGTGAATGCTGGTGGATCCTCCTGTCGATGCGATGCATCTTATACGAAGCAAGTCTTATAATGGTGGTTAGTCTCGTCAAAGTGCAAGGATGGTATTCGGTACCGGTTTGCTATACAGGTACTGTTTAGCACTTTTCCAAACTAACCTACTTGGATGAAACTGGGTGGTTCTTCCGTGCAGGACAAGAAGGCCAGCCAAAGAAGTAGAGCCGAATGGTTGTGCAGGGAGTGAGAGATCACCGGGGGGTGTAGTCCGCGCCCGTAGTTATACAGAAAGCAGGTACATCTTGTGGGGCACATCGCTTTCCCTCCACGTCGTGTGACATAATCTTTGGCGCGTGTGAGTGACGCTGGATAGCTTTCACCCGGTTGAATCGCCACGATGTTCGTGAAGAAAGCTGGTTGAGAAGCGGATCGAAGAAGACCAGTAGGGCGTAGCTGCAGGCCGAGCTTTAGTATGTAGCATGTGTGAAAGATCAATAGTAAAGCCGCCGTAGTGAATATACCGGATCTATATCCTTATACTAACAGTCAGACGCATTGTAGAGTGCAGTAGTAAACGAAGAAAGCTCCAAGTGAAATGCACCGTTCTAGACTGGACGACAGAGTTGAATGTATGTCGTGAGTAAGACGTAGCAGCCTTTTGTCAGCGAGGCCATACTGTACTGAGTTCATCGCGACGAACAAACTCTGATGTTTCAAGATTCCGAGCTCGCAAAGCAAACCTTCTCATGTGAGTAACACCCACCTAGAGTCGGGAAGCTTCCGGAAAGGCATTGATAAAATGAGATAGGACTCTAGTCCTCGTGGCCACGCTTGAGGCTCGAGCCGCCATAGTGGAACGAGATGACAACAAGACCGCTTGTTCGACGTCACGGGTGACAGAACCGTTAAAAAGATGCGCAGCAGAGATCCCTGGAAGGAGCAGACTGCTCGTTCGTTGTTGAAGGTAGAGTGTTGGAGTAAGCACGCGTCCGATGAATTCTGCAGTAGTGCTGCTCTGGCCAAGGACTGACGCGTTGTTCGGGCAAGCAGCTAAGGGGCCTCGTCACATATTCCAGTCGCAGTGTAACCGAAAATTCGCTTTTCTTCGCGGGGCACAGTTTCCGAGATGGCGCTGATGGCGCTGATGGTGTAGGTGATTGAATTCGGTGGGTGTGACAGATACGAAGTCTGGGCGGGCGAACTTCGGAACCGAGCGCGTGCGCGACGTGACACACTAACTTTAGTGGCGTCATTCACCCAACCTCCTTCAATTCAAACACGTCTTTCCTCCTTGACATCATTCCTTTCAGTCTGATTGCCCTGCTCTAGTCTTATCGAGACATCGCCGGACGAATACATAGGCTCTGTCTCGCTTTCAGCCCACGTGTCTTTCAGTTCCCGGTTCGACCACCTCACGCCGTCCATTCGCGACAATATGCCTCGCGACCTTTCTGAGTCCACTCGGCAAGTACATGCTTACTTATCGATTCGTCCTGCATTCTCTACATCGCGTTCGCTTTCAATGAGGTGTACATCCATCGCGCCATTACCTCCACGCTCACCGTCTCCTCGTCTTCGCCATCGTGTCATCTTGTTCAATGTTATCAGTTGCATGGTCATTCATGTACATCGAAGATACCTTCAATGCGAGTAGACGTTCGATCGATCTTTGGTGCCGCTTATGCGCGCATCCGTGTGTGCTCATGTCTCCATCCGTTTGTTATCGCGCAGTCACGTGACAAGGCGCTTGCTGCCTCCAGGGCAGGCTGCTTGCTATTGGCTGTCCGTGCTAGCACAATCACCTCTATCAGCACAATCAGCTGTACCGATACTACATTGTTGTAAACACCGACCCCGTCCTCCCCTCGCTGCAGCGGACTGGCAATGGCCGCGCCTGGCAGCAACCGCTATGCGATGTTCGCGAGTGCAGACAGCAGCGAAACTCCCGTCCGCAGTCCCGCTATTGACCATTCTCAAAACCCATTCCTCAACCAGATTGCCGATGACTCGATGCCATGGCAAGAGGTCAAGAAGCGCGGCGCCCCTGCAGTACAGCCGGCACCACCGGTTCGACGCTCTCCGCAGGTGCTGAATGACCGCACCAAGGCTATCCTCAACCGCCCACGCGCCCAGCAAGGGCAAGATCGCATCGTCTCGGGCTCAACGGACAATACACCCGAAAAAGCATACGATCCACACGAGAACTGGTGTGGCGTCTGCTCGTACAAGTTCGCCAACAAAGCTGCACTGCTCAGTCACATTAAGCAGAGCGTCGGACACGAAAACTATTGCAACCTCTGCAAACGCGTCTTCGTGGACCGCAATGGTCTCAAAAACCACGTCGACAATGCAGCGAACCATGAAGTTCATTGCAACCTTTGTCTCTCCGCTTTCAAGGATGACTGGGCTCTCAAGAACCACTTCGAGAATAACTACAGCGTCGGCCATGAGTGGGTGTGTCTTACTTGCTTGCTCGGCTTCAACACTCGCGCTGAGTTGGAGCGACATCTTCAAACCGCTGCGAAGCATACGTGGTGCGGAACATGCCAGCGCCGATTTCGCAATCAGGATGAACGGGATGCACATTGGGAACAGACGAACAGTAAGTGGTCTGAGAGCTTCTAAGTTGCGAGCTCGTGTCTTTTTGCCTGGTCAGAGCGTTCATTCTCTTGTTCAACGATTACTTCACCTTAAGGACTTGACTGACCAAGGTAAGGGCATAAGCATTGCTTACAACCAGGTTGCGACTTCGATGGGCCAGACGAGTCCACGCTTGCACGGCATCTCAAGTGTGACCACTTCCAGTGCGAAGGCTGCAAGCGTATACTACCAAGCTTTACCAAGCTTACGCAACACTACGAGAGCTGTGCATTCGCACTTGCCTGCCCGCAATGCGGCGAGCACTGTGCTGGAAAGACCCAACTGGGTATTCACCTCGAGAACTGTTTCCTTTGCGAGGAATGTGGCTTCCACACTCACCACGAGGGCAACTACCACATTGTGAGTGATCTGCCACGCGACTGACTCGCGACTGCCACGCTGACAACACACCAGCACATGACTAAGCACAGGTCCGCTGACATTGGCTGTTGGGCCTGCGACGCACCAATGCGCACCTACTCCAGTCTCATCAATCACTTGGAGTCAGGCAAGTGCCCCAACTTCAACGACCCGGCACTTCTTACGCGCTGTCTTGGAAAGTGGTGGTACTCGGCGCTTTACATGGATCTCGATATGCATGCGTCCATTCGCATAGGCCGCGTCGATATCCGCGAGGTACAGCGTTGGTCGGCAGCTGGTGACCTTCACCCTTTCGTGTGTCGCGACGAGGGATGTGGAAAGGTCTTTGGTCATCTGAGTTCGCTGGTATTGCACTGTGAGAGCCAGGCTTGCGGTTGGGGTGTCGATCGCTTGAACATGCCGGGACTGGAGAAGGAGTTCAAGCACGCGTGTCTTCGGAGGGACAGTGCCACTGCCTAGGACCGAGTGCAACCTCCGATGGTAGTGAAGATGCTCAAGAATCGGCCTGGAACGCAGAGGATAGTCCTTTATTTTGTCTCATCCATGATACTTGAGCTACACCGGAGTTGCTCATCCAATACTCAAGATACAGTCGTCTGGCTCATAGCATACCATGACGGCTTCATTGACCCATGTCCCATGACTGTACTGACTCGCTCAACGTGTTACCAACCACCACATCGGCGCACTGGTGCATCGATCACTATACAGCCAGAAGATGCGAAATAGAAACCCAGCTGGCCATAGTTATAGTATTACAAATGAGCCTAGTCGACTGCTCTTTTGACCTTTTGAACGCTTCACGACGTGTGTTACGCGCGACCTTTCATCATCACCTCGTCACAGTCCTACCGCCTCCGCTCACCCGTCTCGCTGCCTTTGCCCTCTAGACGCCCGGTGATCTTCTTCTCGAACTCATCAGGATGAAGCGTCCTGCCTGTCTTGTCCCTGAATCGCCAGCTGACCCTATTCCACACCATTGAGCAATCTTGTTGTAAGATGCGAGCGACTAGACGCAAGTCATCGGCAGAGAAAGTATCGTCGGGTTTTACTTCGAGTTCGAGAGGACGAGCGGCGATGGAACGGGCGTTGTTGTTGTTATTGTTGTTGCCGTTGCTAGCATTGGGCTGAGGGGGTGCTCGCGGAGGCACTTTGTTTGAAGGAGCTTTCTGCGCTGAAGCTTTCGAATCTCCGGCACCGCCACCGGTTTTGGTTTTCTGGTTGTTGTTCGTCCCTGTACCCCAGGTGTTTCCACCGGTGTTATCCCAGCTCGCGGCAGCATCATTCGCGCCGTCTCCACCACCCGTAGTGGCGCCAGTGCCCCATCCAACTTGGGTTTCCCAAGCATTCGTACCAGTACCTGCAGCATCTCCCCCAACAAAGTCCCAGCTTGCAGTACCGCCCCATGCATCGGGTGCTTTATCCCCAGGATCGTTCTTGTCACCAGACTCGTCTTTGCTGTTACCAGTATATTCTCCAAACGTGAGACCCAATAAACCGCCATCATCCCCCGTTTCCTCCTCCTCCTTCTCTCCTTTTTTCTTATCATCCTTGTTGTTTCCATCGTTCTGATCTGCTTTCTTCCCCTTCTTCCCCTTCTTGTTTTCACCTCCCTGTTTGGCCCCACTTGGTTTCCAATCCTTCGGCTTGATATCCTTGAAGCGGCGTTTGCATTCATGCTCAGCTTTACCAAATTCTTCGACTATCTTAGCCCAGGTAATCTTTGAATCATCCTTCATCTGCATCAGCTTCTCGTCTTGCTCTTTTGTCCATCCACTCGACTCGCCGTCCTTCTTGCTATCATCTTGTGGGGCTATATCGCTCTCTGGGGCAGTCGGTGTGTTCCAAGCATCTGCGGGGTCATCTTTCTTCTCTTTGTTGTCGTCGCCACCTGTAGCATCTGGGGTAGTGCCCCAGGTGGCTGCGAGCGGATCGCTTGTGTCATTGCCCGATTCCTGTACGACCCATGCATCACCTTTGTTACTTGAGGCCTTCTTCGAGCTCGACTTCTTCGATTCGCTCTTTGCATTGGCGTCACCCCACCCATTACCAGCCCAAGGGTCGTCTCCATTGGCGGCGGGCTTGGTCGAAGCTGGTTTCTTCGGGGTGCCTTTCGCGCCTGCTAGCTCCTTTGCCGGCCGCTGTTCAGAAGGTACCTTCGCAAGGCTGGCTGCAGTGAGTCGTGGTTTGCCGGTGCCTGTGAGCCTGCCTTTTCGTCCGTCGCTCGCGGTCCACTCTACGATGCGACCAGGAGTAGACATCTGGTGGTAATTAGCCTAAAGCTTCGTCATGGTATTCAATGGGGGCAGTCACTATGTTAGTAGGCTGGCCGGGCTTCCCAGTTTGCGGCGGAGGTGCGGGTGGCTTTACTTCCTTGTACGGCTTGTCACTAAAGCCTAGGATGTATGCCATGGACACTCTACGCGGAGCGCCATTTGCATCCGTCATCCCGATAGCTTGGAGGTGCAGGCGCTGAGTTCGAAGTGAGGGCGTTGACACCGTGCGCAAGAAAGGACGCGGTCCGTAAGCGACGACGACGAAAACGCCACGCGGAGACGAGCGGCAATTGAAGTGAATAAAGCAAGCTGAGATTGAGCGCACAAGAAAGACGTGCTGGTGTTTCGGGGACAAGTGTGGGAGCGGACTGACGATGGTCTTGGCGGCAAACAGATCTGTTCAGAACCTCTAAATTTGGACGGCAGAAGAGAAGGGTACATGACCGAACGATAACAGAATTTAAAGAAAGGACGTTATCCTAAGACCTACGCGCACAGAAGAAAGGAAGTGGACGACGAAGAGAATATTTCGTGAGAGATACACGGGTGTTACCTTCCGCCTCAACTCGTTGACGTAGATATCCAGGCTACCAGCGATCTGAGCTGCTGAATCACGACACACCATCTCCATGGTCCCCAGCTGTACCTTGAAGTTCTGTAGTAGCGCATTGTGGTAATCGTGCGAGACCCTGAAGGGTAGCGGATGTCAGCGCACGCAGACTGCACAGCGAATCGCGAAATTGTCATGTCATCTACTGATCCCTAACATATTAGAACAAATGCTGCATCGCATCTAGGATTCACTAGGAAGGCTGTGAACGAAAAACAATATTGCGGGGTGTAGGACAGAGCAGGACGCCGTTCGAAGGAAGTTGAGACGGAGCCGGGGCTGACTAATCTGAACGCTAACGTTCTGGGCCCTTGCATTGCGGGCAAGCTGGCATCTCCGTGTACGTAGCTTGGCGCTCGACGAAACACCGAATTCGACACGACAGAGCAGCATCACCATACACCCGCCATGCTGTTCCCATCTCTCGCCATGCTCGCTGCGGTGAGCAGCTTGCTGTCATTCGCGACGGCGCACAACATCCAAATGAAGGCCCACCAGCGCGAATGCTTCCACGAGTCCCTCCACAAGGACGACAAGATGACAGTCACGTTCCAAGTCGGCGACCGGGAGTTTGGCGGCAGCGGAAACTTGGAGATCGATTTCTGGGTGCGTAAATGAGACTCCAATCCTGCCTCCAAACCACATAGCTGACTATTTATCCACAGATCGAGACGCCCTCTCGAAGCTACCAAGTCCACGAACGCGGCGTATCCTCCGGCGACCACTCCTTCGACGCCAAAGAAGACGGCAAATACACATACTGCTTTAACAACGAGCACTGGGGTGCGAACACGAAGGAGGTTTCGTTCAACGTGCACGGCATTGTTTACGTCCCTGAATCGGAAGCCCCCCAAGACCCATTGGAGAAGGAGGGTGAGGAACCACACTGGATAGTTAGGAGAGGTCAGTACTGACAGAAACAGTGCGAACAATGTCGGAACTTGTCTCCCAGGTCAAGGACGAGCAGAGCTACATCATCGTGCGCGAGCGTGTACACAGGAATACTGCTGAGAGCACGAACGCGCGCATCAAGTGGTGGAGCATCTTCCAGTTGATGGTACTCATCGGCCAGGGGTTCTTCCAGGTGTGGTGGCTCAAACGGTTCTTTGAGGTAACCAACACCCGTGCATCCTATTATCATTCCAACAGTACTCAACTAATCCCGTCTACAGGTCAAGCGTGTTGTTTAGCTTTCCCTCTTCTCTCTCACGAGCTGCGTGCGGCGCAACATCTCTAGTTTTTGCCGCTAGTCTACGCACTTTGTCTCGATTCTTCTGGCGTTGGAAGCGTTGAATAAGCACAGGAAAAGGCGGGAGTATGGTGGTTACTTTATGACTCATCAACGAGATCTGGGTAAGATTACATTTTCATATGCAGAGTTCATCCAGTTCGCTCGATGTTCCACGGGTCTGCTTCTGCCTACGAAGCTTGGCACGTATTGACCCGACTAAAATCTGGTTTGGGTCAGCTGATTCGAAGACAGCCTGGCACCTGGAGAAGAAGATCATTTTAGTGGTTGATGAAGACAGGTTCCGTGAATGTTAGTGTGGTTAGCCCCCCTCAACGTATCACTGAATCATTCACCACTATTGCTTCCATCTGTGGCATTTCTATATAAAGGTGCTCATATATCACTTCATGTTGATAAACCTCTATCTCTACCTCGATGTTCCCAGCTCGTTTTTCAACCCTTCGTTTGTCATTAATCTCCTGATCCATCTCATTACGTCAACAACATAACAGTCAGGCAGCGACGTTGCAGCCTCAACGTGGTCAATCCGCCACTTTGTGCGCGTCCCTATCCGCAGTTGTCGGGTGAAGGCGGGAGACACGTCGCGAATTTGCACTGTCGGTGTACTCCCTTGTGTTGTCGGGGTAGCGTGCCTTCTATCACTGGTCGCTGCTGCCTCCCATACGACCGTCACCACGAGCAACGGCAGTATAAATAGTCAACAACCCCCGCCCGCCTCTTCCAACACCAAATATGAGCCTCTCGATTCAACCTGCTGCAAGTACACCAGATGAACCCTTCACAACATGGCGCGCCTTCCGGCTGGCCTCAGGCTATGAGCTTGGATGACGTGCATGACGCTGCATCCGCGCGCAAAGACTCGATGGCTACCTTTGGCGCTCCCTCTCCACAAACAACTGCGGCAAGTACTTTCATCTCAACTCCTCTTTCCCCTGAGCCCGAAATCCTTCACCAACCGCAACATCGGTACAACGTGCCTGTACCACATTGGGCGAACAGGCAACGACCACCTACGCCGCCCCTTCACCACCTCGACGATGTGCGCCAACATGATCCTGCGAAACCATTGCGAGGCCCGTATACATCGCCTTACAGCACATTTGCACCAGCATACATTCATCCCTCAGTATCGAACATCCAGGATTATCCGTCACAACAAACTGTCGCTCTACCCCCTCTACCAGTATGTATCCCTTGCTATCACGCCAATCTAGGGAAAATCTGAACAGGTCTGGAGCCTACATCGACGTTAGGGCACCTACCTTGCAGGTTTTCATGCTGATGTAGGCTGCAGACCTGTCCAGGTTTTCCCTTGTATGAGGTGCTATGCTTTGCCAACGCAGTGTTGAGACATCTTACTATTCGTGCTAACAGCTTGACAGAAAGCGCCCTCTATCCAGCATTGGCCAACTCACAACCTTAGCATGGTAGATGCACAGAGCAAGAAGAAGCAGGACGAGTACAAAAGAAAGGGCGAGGTAGCGAGGAGAAAGACAATTTCCGCTCAAGCCTCAGCGCCGCAGTACCAACTGATCAGAGAGCCTACATCGATGCCTCGCAAACGCAAGGCTTCAATTATTGACGACTTGACAACTACACCTGCACCACCTCCTCGCTTTAGACGTCTTCTTCCGGGTTCACCCAAACCAAAGCATGGGCAGCAACAGAGCTTCACAAGCAGCCCCGTGGTAAACCACCACCCGACTCCTCATCTACCGCAACCGGGCCCCATGCACTACATCGATCCGCGGCAGTATCACCCACCACCGTATATTTCTCCCTACCCACAGTATCAAGAACCGGTTCATGCGCGACCCTTAGTTTACATGCCTCAACATCAACCGCATACGCCCGCAGCACCTCCACCACCGCCTCCCAAGATTGTCCACCCTGAGACTATACCCCAAGATATCACAAGCATCTACGACGAGTACAAGTGGCCGGTCGTGCTATATGAGCTTGAACCTGGACATGGCTTCGAATTTGCCGAGTCCTTTTTACAAGATCAGTTTGAGAAAGGAATCTACCACTCAGACAGCGACAGATGGGACGCGCATATTACAGCAGGCTTCATCAAGAATGGAAACAGAATGTCGCTTCTAGTTTTACACAATGCTGCGAACCCGTTCCAGTATGACCCACCGGCCACAACGACTACCAGCATCGGCGTATATGGAATGTTTGCTCATGAGCATAACGAGATCCATTGGACGACTGTTGCGCCATCTGTTCACAAATGGCTCCGCTTATCCATGGAAGCGGATCTTCTCACGGTCAAACAGAAGTGGTTTCCCAACATGAAGGCTTCTGACAAGCGGTTCCATCGCGCGTATTGGTTGGCTGCCAATAAACTGCCGCTCAACCGCATACTGAACCATAACATGGCACCCGAGGAGCCGTACGGAGTGTTTGAAGACAACGAGAAGAATAACTTTGTGATTACGGAAGAGGACCTGCAGTACGGGTGGGATGGAGAGAGTGTATCGGTGGAGAAATCGGAGAAGATCTGGCAGAGTATTGTCGACGAGCTGGAGGGAGTGGACCTGGCGGACGTCGAGCACGTGTCTATAGGAGGATCAGAGAGGGCGTTTACGGCGGACTGGTTTAGCAAGTGAGGGTGTACTCGCTACCCAAGTCTGCCATGAGCTCATATACGATGGAAAAGGAGGGTTTCGGGAAAGGAAGTGGCTGCCAGTGGGCCCGCATGTAGAATAGTCTCAGTCAGAGAAATGAATGACAATCCAAACCATCAGAACACTTTGGACATTCATCTGCTATCCACAAGCGCTAATGAGAAAGCTAGTCTACTTCCAACTCTATCAGGCCGAGGCCATGGCTCTCGATAAGAATTGTCCACCGTCCCACCGCGTTATCAAGACAAGGGCCTCGCTAACATCCAAATCTAGCACTAATCATCAATCTCCTCGTCTTGAACACTCATCGTCTCCACGCTCTCGGTAAGGCTCAAGCCCGTTCCGCCCGCCCTCAAGGAAGGTTTCTTCCCTTTGCCCTTTGTTCTCTTCTTGCTTTTCGCACCGCTGGTCTCGCCCACTGGCGGTGCATCCCGGACCCAGCGTGAGATGGCCTCCGCTCGTTCCGTACTGATCGGATATTCGCGACCGTCATCTTGCGCCCAGCGCTTAGGTGGGGTGGGTTGTGGCGACATTGGGTTGCCATCTGCGTCGCTAGGAGGAGATTGCTGCCTCTTCTTCTCGGCCTCCTCGTCCTCTCTGTTCCGGCGCTCGCGCGCGCGAACCGCACGCTGAAAGCTTTCTTCGTCGACGACGCGTTCGTCGGCTAGGGCTTCGAGGATGGCTTCGTGCTTCTGACGTTCGCGTCGTTGGGCTTCTGTTTCGCCGCCGCCAGACCCGTTCATGCCGTTCTTTCCTGCTACGTCTGTGGAGCCGTTCTTGCCGCCTCCATGGCCAGGTAGGGGGGCAGGGCGGCAGAGGTTCTCCCAGGATGTTGACAGGCCGATCCAGTTCCCAGCTCTACGGAGGACTTCGATCCAGTCTGCGCGTGCGGGGGAACGTGCGGCGAGAAAGATGGGGTAGCCGTCGCAGACGCGAGCGAGGCGGGCGGCATTGTGGGCGTGGCGGAGGTGTTCTTTGGGGGGTGTTTGTATGAGCGCGTGGCAGAGGAGGAGACTGTGCAGGGCATCTGTAATGAGGGGGTGATATGTTATACTCTCGTGGCTATCTGCGAAGGCGGTGGCTGCTGCTGAGGCTGCGGACTCGGACGAGTTGCGAGGCGGTGGATACGGGGGCAGCGAGGCGGGAGGTGCAGCATCGAAGAGCTGGGAGACTTTGAAGATCTCCGGTGGAGGGAGTTTGGGCCACGATGCGCGGTCAGAGGAGGATTTGGTTGGGCCGCGGTGAGGGACGAGGGCTTCGGAGATGGGTGATGAGGCGCCGTTTGTCTGCTCGATGAGGCGGTTCATATTCGGTTTGATCTTATCATTCGAATAGCCGTTGGGGCTGCCGTTCGCCGAGTGGCCCAGTCTGCGCAAGAACTCTTCGGCGAGCTCAGCGGAGATACCGGGCGTGTAGTCGAAGTGTGAGAGGAAGGCGACATAGTCTCGGAGGGCGCGTTTGGCGTTTTGGCGGACCTGCTTGCGGGCTTCGAGGCGAAGATGATTGCTGTGCGCTTCTTCTGGTGTTATTGGATCTGGTTCCTTACCTTCGGCGATTTGGGCATCGCGCCGTGCCTTTGCCTCTTCGGCTGCCTGTAGGCCGTCGAGGGCAGCATTGACGTGGCCACATGCTATAGTGAAGTATACGCCCGCGCGATGGAACAGCAGCTGTGTCTCGAGCGAATTGGGGTGGTCTTCGTCGGGGATCTTGACTTCCTGCCGCCAATCCCGCCCATATTGTTCCTGGAGCGTCTTTGCCAGCACCAGCTGATCGTTGCCTGCGCGATGCTGTGCCATCATGTACCGCGCCGTGCTCAAGGCCTCACTCAGGTCCTTGGCCGAGTTCACGTAGTCCTCCTTGAAGATTCTTGTCAATGCGCGCGTTCGAAGGGGGCTCCCGTCGTTGGGTCGCTCGCTGATGATTTCATTCAAAGTATGCAAAGGTGTACACTGGGCCATCATGCGGCTGGGAATCTTCTCGTGGAAGAAGTGGACGTACTTGGCGTCGACGTTGTTGGGCTCGCGCTGCAGCACCAGGTGCGCGACGTCTTCCAGCGTGCTTGCGCTCTGCATGGTAGCTACACTGGCCGCGATCTCGTCCAAATGATATGCCTGACTCAGCTTGCTCGTCGCCAGCTCCCGCATGCGATGCTTCCGCTCTCTACTCAGCTTCGAGGTCCCCCCTCCCCCGTAGCCTATCCCCAGCGCGGCGGCATTGCCCAGCATGCTGTTGTTCCCATTGAGGCTGTTGCTGAGGGCGGCCGACGTCAGGCCCGACGTGGCGCGCACAGCCAGGTTGGTCGCCTCGTCGACGGCCTTGCGGATCTTGACGAGGTCGTAGAAGACGGCGGGGTCAATCGGGTGGGGGCGCGGGGAGAGGTAGTTGCTGTGGGCGAGCGACTCGAGGACCTCGGGGGGCAGCTGCAGCCAGGGGCCGTGGAACGAAGAGATGTAGCGCCAATGCCTGTAGTCCCGCCATTAGGGTATTGTCTCTGTGCATCACGACGGCAGTACCCGCCCAAACTCACTTGTTGCGGCAGATGATGAGGGCAGACGTCGAGGGCTCGCCGGCCGGCTTCTTCGCGGTTGCTGCGCCGTTGGCAGCGGGCGGCGGCGTCGACGAGGCGCTGCCGTTGGGCGCGGCATCAGCCTGCGCGCTCTTCTTCTTGCGCGCCATGTTCCAATGTCTTCGGTATACAACTCTCGCCGGGGACGTCTGCTCTGCACTGGCTGGAATGATGCCGTATCGATAATAAATTTCGTCTTGGCGTTAGCGCGGAGACGGAGCTTGCGTCTTTGTCTCCGACACGGCACCCTTCACCTCCCTCGTCGCGTCGTCCCAGCCATCCTCCCTCACAACGCGCTTTCTTTTACCTCGATCGCGTCTTCTCTCACACAGTGATGCATTCTCGTCCTCGCGCTATCACACCTGCCCATGCCGTCAGGCGGCTGGCATGGGTCGCCCTTCCTTCGCGTGATGCTTGACAGGGGCATGCAACGGCCTCCTGCAGCGCCCTGTTCTAGCTTTACCCCACCGGTTCTTTACAGCACCTTCCACGACGACTTCCCATGATGTCACTCTTTTCCTAGGCAAAGTCTTTGGCGGCTTTCTTTGAGCTGCACGTCTGGAATTCCATCAGTACTACTGCGTGTTCAGCAATCATCACAACCCTTATTCGCTACACATGCCTTCCTCGCCAGCCAATCGTCACCGTCTGCCCTCAGTATGGTGGTGCCGGCACACGGTCCAGGCTGCCATGTCGCCCGCTGGACTTTTCACGGCTTCCCGATATATCACCGTTGTTGGAGGGGCTAAGTCGCTCGATGGGGCCTTATCCGGATTCTATGCGAGATTCGCTGACTGAGAGTCGTCGCTTGGCATGGTGGCTGTTTGCTCCCACACCACCCAACACATTGGCACCATGTCTTGTGCCCTACTACATCTCCCAGTCGATGCAGAACGGAGCCTCTTCAAGCTTTTACTAAGACCACATGAGAAGCATGGTTAGTCCAGAGTCCGCAATGGCTGGACTACGAAATGTCTCTTGGCTCCAACTTCAGCGCTGGGTTCAGCCTCATGTAATGGCCAAGTCAACGAATGCGGGAACGCTGTAGAGACATGGAGCTAATTATCCACGTTTCACGCTTCCAGGTCATGACGAATTGTGCACACATTTTTCAACATGCGCAATCAGTGGTCATGTGCACGCATCTTCGGCAGCGAACGCGCATCATGCAACATTATCGTGGCAATCGCTGTACACACCATCTCTACAGTCTTCGCGAGAGTGCCTCGAGCTCTACCTTCCCAAACGGCTTAGCGAAACACGTCTCGCACGAACTTGAAGCTTGTCCCTATCGGGTCAAAGGGCGCCGGTCACACTGCATGCATCTATCGTTTCCGGGAACTGATTCCGCTCGGGGATGCATGTGCAGATGTACGCGTACCCAGAGCAGGCTCCTGAAATATTGTTGATATGCAAGAGCTGTTTGCTGTACTGAACTTGTATCTGTAGCGCATTCGTGTGATCTGGCTATCCGAGTGTCAGTTTCATGAGTTGTCTACGAATCGGAAACCGGAGTCTCGGTCTTGACGCGGATACTCGATGTGACTACAACGGATTGTCTTTCCGACGAACGCATTGCCCACGCCATTGTCAAATCGTTGCCACGTCCGACTAGTGCTCCATGTTTTCATATCGCGAGGATGATAAACCACGCGCGCCACTGAGGCGCATTGGCGTTGCGCACCAAAGGAACGCCTAGGCAAACGCAGCGTATTCCAGTATGCTCAGATTGTGCCGCCATCGGTTGAGGGGTAACATTTGTTAGTCGTCATACCCAAACCCAAACAACTCATATCATGCCATCTGCGAGATGCACGAATTGTCTCATACTTCTGGTCACCATGATAACTACCGAATTATGCAGACTGGGCCTGGTGTGATCGTCGTCGTAAACGAACGTTTCGTCGTGCCTTCGATCGTCGGCTGCACTGACACGGCACACGCTCCGTCCGGGAGATACTCGACAAGGATGCTTGGCCGTCTATTCGTGGAGCTTGACTCAAAGCTTAATTCAAGGCGCTAGTGTGCGGCTTCAACGAGCCTTGCGCGGGGTGGCTGACGGAAGCTAATTCGGTGCTGATGAGGTGTATTGCGGGGTAATTTTGTCCAAACATCTCTCTCCCTCAACAAAGAGTCCTCTACCACGCAGTTTGAGTTCGCCGTTGCTAATCCACTAAGTCAGATGTACGCGATCCGGTTATCTCCAAAAAGCTTGAGTAAGGCCCGAGGGCGATGCTAGTTGCAACTCAAACCTGGGTTGCCTCTGCTTAGGCATATCGGCAGTGTGACAAGCGCCTGTCTAATATCTTACCGGCCCCTGCTGGTGTTGACAGCGTGACTACGTCTTTGCGCCTCAGTGGTGTGTTACGAAACGAAGGCCGAATCACAACTACGTCGAAATCTCCACTCCTCCTCGCCCACACCTCGGTGTCCAAGACGGAAGGTCGAGACTTGAGCAGGGTATCAGACATGGCAGCTGCAGTTCACTTCCTCATTGGACATCGCGGGACCGGCATGCTGACGTCTTGTTGCCATGATTGGCAGTTCCTCGACGCGATTTCGCCTAGACGTTCCCAGCATGTTTCCATGCGGGTAAGCGGTTGAGAGTGGGTGTGCTGACCGGCCACTCAGTAGGCTCAATTACAGCGCTGTGGCTTCGAGACCCAGTTTCATCGACAGGACGCTACCTTGTGGTCGATAACGCCGATTCCCAGGATGTGCGGAGTATATCTTTGATATGCCGTGCTCTAGGGTAACCCTCAATAAGCCTCTTCCACTGCTCAACGAGACACTGTGCTAGCTCTGAAACATCTTTTGTCGCTTTGTTTTTGCTCTCTATCTACCAACCCACTATGGAGTATCTCAGGAAGAAGGCTCAAGGGAGCCGAGAAGCGATAGCCACTGATACTACCCTCCAGCGGACGATACGGTATGGCACGAAAGCCGTCCGCGCTGCACCTTCAGTGGCAGGCCAATATCTACTTCAGAAGGCGCCCATCATTCAATGGCTGCCGAAGTATAACCCGCGATGGCTACTGAACGACACATTAGCCGGTATCACTGTTGGCGTTCTGCTCATCCCTCAGTCTCTGGCGTATGCGAAGATTGCGACAATCCCCGGACAGTATGGACTCATGTCGAGTTGGCTGCCTAACTTTCTGTACCTGATCATGGGCACATCTAAGGGTAAGTCGTTGCTACTCATTGCAACCCTTTTTACTAAGACTCGTACAGACCTGTCTACTGGTCCTACGTCGCTCATGGGTCTCTTGACGGCGGAGATAATCGCAGATGTTGCCCAAGACGGGTACTCACCACAATCCATCGCTTCCGCCGTTGCCATGTCCGTCGGCATTTACTCCATGACGCTAGGCTTGCTCAAGCTAGGATTTCTGCTAGAGTTTATTTCCGTGCCCGTTCTGAGCGGCTTCATCTCCGCAGCTGCCATCGTCATCATGCTCGGCCAAATCCCCTCGCTATTCGGCATCACTGTCGGCTCCGGTACGGCGAACATCATTCACGACCTTTTCGCCAAGATACCACAATACGACGGTCCGACATGCGGAGTGGGTCTTGGGGGCCTTCTACTGCTCTATCTCATGCAGAAGATGGGACAGCGCTGGGGCAGGAAGAACAAGGCCATATGGCTGCTAGCACTTGGGCGTAGTGCTGTAGTCCTCATTCTCTTCGCTGGTATCTCCTACGCAGTGAACAAGGACATCGACCTTGAGAATGACGATCCTGTCTGGGCACTCAGCAAGGTAAAGTCTGATGGGATTGCAACGCCTCGCATGCCAGACTCGGCACTTATTGGCAAGGTATTCGCCCGAAGCATTGCGCCCTTCATTGCAGCTGCGCTTGAACATCTAGCTATCGCTAAAGCCTTTGGTCGCAAGAACGGCTACGTTACCGACGCTGCACAAGAGCTAGTCTATCTCGGCTTCACCAACTTCTTCAATTCTTTCTTCTCCTCCATGGCGGTCGGAGGTGCTATGTCGCGGACTGCCGTCAATTCAGAGTCCGGTGTCAAGTCTCCAGCTTATGGTTTGATCGCGGGTGGTGTCGTCATCCTCAGTATCTTCAAGCTTTCGCCAGCACTATACTGGATACCGAAAGCTACATTGGCAGCTATCATTGTTACGGCAGTATGGCACATTGTAGTTCCCCTCAAAGTCTTCTACGGATATTGGCGCACCTCACTCGTCGACTTTACTACCTCCATGCTAGCTTTCTGGCTCACCCTATTTGTCTCCTCAGAAGTTGGGATCGGCACGGCCGTCGGATTCAACATCGTCTACCACCTCCTCTTCATGGCCTTCCACCGCGTTCACCGCATAACGTCTATCGAAGTGGCTTCTCACGGCCGCCAATCCGGTATGCATCCCACTCCTCTCGATACCCAAGTATTTCGCATCCACCAGTCTATGCTTTTCTACAACGCCTACCACATCAAGACGCAGTGCCTCGACGCGGTCCAGACATTCAACTCCGGTGATGTGGCGACGCTAGAAGCTGCGCACGCAAACCGCAACTGGAGTGTCGCTGGCAAAGATCGCGCGTTGCGTCTCCGTACGAAAGCCGAGATCCTCGAAGAGCCTGTTCAGATTCGCAGTGTCGTGCTGGACATGTATGCCATGCATAATATCGATACAACAGGTCTTACACATCTGAAAGACCTGAAAGCAGATATCGAAGCGTATGGCGGCAAGAACACGCAGTTCAGACTCGCAGGGCTAAACGACCGTGTTCGCGAGCGCTTCGCGAGGTTCGGGTGGAAGCTCCGCGATGTGTCTGATGTCAATAAGAAAGGCACGATGGTATATGATACAGTTGAGGAGGCTGTCTTCCGTCGCTCGAGAACATTCTCGTCGGATGAGATCGAAGTGGAGCCCACCGAGGTGTTTGTTGTTGGTGATGAGAAGAGTAAGGTTTAGATTGCGGGTTCAAAGGTCGCATCATGGGTGTGCTACGCCTGTTGCTTCTCCCACTTCCGCTATCAGAAGTATTTTCACGATGTTATGATGAAACGCTCATTATTCTTCACCTATACATAGAGCTACGTGTTCATACACGAGTTGTTACCTTGCCATTCCGTATGTATCCACAATTCGCCTTCAACCTTTGAGTCAGGAACTCTTTCACTCGGAGAGCTGATGCGTATCCAAGTGATGGACAGGTACCATGTTCTACTCGTTTCGATATCTTCTACCTTCAGTTCACTCCACACTCCGCGCCCCCTCATTCGTCTCCGCAAAAATTCCGAACATACCTCTGCAGCGCTCCCGGTTCTGCGCCATCTGCTCTTCCTCTGACAACGCCGGGTCAACAACAGTACAGATATTAGACTTTAAGGCGACCGGGATGGCGCCACGCCGACCGTACACATAAGTCTCGACCTCCATCTCCTGGTCAAGTTCCTGGAAGTTGTAAAATGTCCACTGTAGCGAGCTCTCCGGAAGAGGATTCGCTGGCCTACCATGCACTGGTAGAGTCACAGCAGTCATGGATCTTCTTTCACCAAAGCTGGCTGGCCACGGATGCGGAGATGACCTTGTGCCGTTGGGAAGTGGCCTTGGCTTAGCCCGCGGATTGGAAGACTGTCCGTAGTATGGCCTTGCGGTATTCATTCTTAACAATTTATTGAATCGTTCTTGAGCGTTGGGAGGCGAGTTACGCCAATTTTCACTTGATGCGATAGTACGTAGGGCTGGTCTCTTTGTATCGAGAGAGCTATGTTGGGGCGTTGTGGCGGCCGAGGAGCTATCGTTCGGTGGTGAAGAAGTCCAGCTGGAAGGCTTTTGGGTTGCAGTAGCGGAGCTAGTCGTCGCGTTGTTGATGCGCGGCGGCTGTGACAAAGCCAATGCAGGCGGACTGTCGGGTTCTTCTTGTGGACAAGTCAGGGTGATCTCAGGAAACTGGCGCACTTTCCGAGGGAGCGTGACACTTGTTTGATCTGCAACAGGCTTCAAGAGATCTAACAAGTTCTTTTGGAAGGCGTCGAGTTCATCCTTGTTCTTGGGGATTGTGGGCCGCTGAGGTGCTTTAAGGAGCGCGTCTGATTTCGCCGCGGAAGTCATCGGAGCGAGAGGTTCTAGCGGATTGCTTAACAATCGAAGCTGCGATTTCGCTTCGTCTTTGTTGCTGGGGACTGGAAACTTTTCCGCGAGCGCACGGTCAGCTGGTAGTTTCTTCTTGGTAGGAGAGGTGACGTTGAGTGGCTTAGGTACAAGCTTGGGTAGCAATCGCGTCTGCGCTTTGTACGAAAGTTGTTTCCAGAACGTCTTCGAATCGAAGAGAGGCAGTACCTCCGTTTGCACTTCCTCAGGTTTGTAGTCCGTGCGCATTTTCGCGGAGTGAGGGAGCTTCATTATGGAGAAGCTAGACCTTATGAACCGATCGAAAGGGATCTTTTCGGCTACGATAGCTTTCTCCACCCTCGTTACCTCGATCTCCGACTCACTATGTGACTCACGTGCAGTAACGATTATCTGCGAAGCACGCAACGGCGAGCTCTTTGTCCGATATATCCCATCCTCACGCGCTAACCCCGACTTCTTCTTGGTCTTCACGCTGTCCCTGTGTTTGCGCAGACCCCAATCTTTTCTTTCTCCTATACTCTTCCAGAAGACTCTCTGCGCTACTTCGGTACGACCAGCCCGCCGAGAAATCAAGGCTGTCCAGTCGGCCTGTGCCTCGGGGCAAGTATGGCAGTCGTTCTGGCAAGCGTGTAGATGCCAGATTATGGTATGAATTGGCCAGCCACTACTTTCGCACGAGAGGACGTCATCGCATGGCTCGGAAATCTCTTGAAAGGAGACCTCGCAGACAGGGCAGCAAGCTGGGGTGAGTGCTTTAAGACAGATCAAGCGGTGGTCGAAGGCGTCGAGATCTTTCATACCCCACAGGTCCTTGTGGCAAAGAAGACAGTAAGTTTTCTCCAGATCTGATGAGAACGATGGTATCGGTGTGGATGGTTCCTCTCTCTCATCTAGTTCGCTGTTCTCGACTTGCAGCGTCTCCAACGAGGTCTCGTCGCTGTCTCCAACCTCCCTTTCCTCTAGTGGATTCTTCACAATCTGACTCTTAGCTTCCTTCGCCTTTTCTCTCAAACCATCCCAACACTTGTTGAAATGGATGTTTGCTTTGGCTTTGGGCTTTAGCTCTACTCGTTGATAGCAGATACCACACGTGGACTTATCGGCCTTTATGGCCTTCTTAGGCACAGGTGGTGGTTGACGCCTAGGTGGAGGTGGTGGATCTTTGACTTGGGCGGCTGAAATCTCAGGAGACGGAGGCGCAGTGGGGGCTTCTAGGTCTGGCATCGCATAATTGTTCATCTGGTCAGCTTTGATCTGAACAGTTCTAAGGCGATACAATGTGAGAACGGGCGCTTATAAGTCCGTGGAATTGAAGTTGTGTTGCTGTGGCTGTGAAATAGGTCGAGCGGGTGTGATTTGTCCGTCTATAAGAAAGCCGTGAGTACGAGAAGCTTAGCCTAGTAGATTTAGGTTACACTGAGTGTTTGTGCGTTCGGAAGCCAATGCTTTTCCACACATTCACCAAGCCAATTCAGATTTCACGTTACAGACTGCGACGCCACGAAGACTCTTGCTTCACCCATCCTGATTGAGAGAGAATTGGCGTACTCCATGAGGTACACTATGTAGATTGGGTGGTGTCTCTCCATTCCCGTCATGAACTTTAGCTTTTTGACAACTCGTTGTATACCTGTAATACGGCTGCGAACTTTTTCGACACATTTTGGTGGCTCTATCCTGTTCGAGGAAAGAAGTACATACCAGCCCTGTGCGGAGAACGACATGGAAATCAAGGATCTAGAAGTCTACACCACGCTTAAATGTTGGTATCTCTCATTTTTTGTTCTGTCGTAGACTTCAGTGCATCTTTTCAATTTCCTCATTGTAGTGTGTGGCAGCAACGTCTTGTGCAGCCGGTCAAATGTGAGCCATGAAAGCTTAGTACTTTCTTATGGCGAGGCTACGACATTGAACTCATCTTTACCGCAAAAGCCATTCATACCAGGGTCATTGAGAGTCGGACGTGATAGCAGATCTTCGAGGTCACCACATGAGATGTGCCGATACAATGTTGAGAATATCGGAGAGTATCGCACGGTCGTCACCAGTATCATTCCAAGCTGAGTGAAAACCCATTGTTCATGCATACCGCATTCTAGCAAACCCCCATGGGCCTATTCAAGCTATATCATGATTACATAGAAGCTCTCTTGACCATCACGCATCTACGCAACCGGTTAACATTGTCTACCATGATCCATCGAAACATGAAAGCCCACGACTACATTGTCATTGTGAAAGATATCGAAAAAGGCTACGCTACCTTCAGCCAGTGGGACCAACTCAGCACAAACATGGTCTTTGCGCTTCCATGGCGACTTCTGCAGCAATGTCCAGATGGACTGATACTAGACAAGCCCGAAACGGTAGAGAAGTTGGCCGAAAAAGAAGAGGCCTTGTCGGACTGGGACGACGACAACCGCGGCGTCCGGTGGGACGAAAATTCAGGCTGGACGTTTAAGTCTCTAGAGAAGCCAGACGCACCTAGTACCGAAGAAGACACATCTGAAGACTTTACTCCGCAACCGAGCCTCGCAGATTCTGTCGAAGAGGAAGTCCTGGTATACATAGCGACACTACACACTTGCCGGAAGCCTTACCCGCATGTATGCCCATTGGTGCTCAGGAAGGTCCCAAGGTGCCTGAGCTGCAAACGGAACACCCGTGATCGTATCGACGCTTTTCGGAGTCTTAGAGAGTTTACCAGATCACGATTTGGAAATGGTACATCAACTTTAAGAAAGGAGCTTTTGGTGGGCCACGTTGAAGACACCGCAGCCAGGACTAGCGAATTCATTAAACTGGACTCGTTCCGGCTAGCGCATCTTTAGGATGAGCGATTTGACTCAAGGGCTGGAAAGTACGATATGACGGGCATCAAACTGCTTGAGGAAGAGCCTGGCCAGATAGTTGTTCGTGGTCCTCGAAGCATAGCACAAGAAGAGTACTGATTCTAGTATGGAAGCTTTTCAACCATTAGACGTGTTAATAGGATTGTACTTGTGCTTCTCGCGTTCTGCTGCATACACACTATTAGATATTAACAAGTATACAGTCCAAAAGATGATGTATACTTCTGAAAAGAAGATGAAATAATGGAACACTTTTGTAGAATGCAATACGAGTTGCAGCCGCCCTTGGTAAGGTCTTCTTGGCTCGCAGTAGATCGACATGTCGCAGTTTCGCTGCTGCGCTGATAGCTGCTCTTGTGCTCCGAGGCAAGCGCGCCGGCTTGTGAGATCCCGATGTTGCAGCTAGCGCGGTTCACGGTAACGGTTGTGCGCCGCAACATTGTGATGTGGGAGCCCAGCTTTCTAGCCAACGAAGGTATCCCTTGCGCGAAACAACGATAAAGTAGAACGGAGCAGACGTCAAAGTGCATCTTCATCTGTGCGGAGGTATGAGAGCGCCAAGCTCAACAAAAGCAATAAACTGCATGATGCAGGATGGAAACACAAGACGAAAGGTGGTGTTGCGGATAGGCAAAGCCGACGGCATCATAGCGTTAGGGGCGCAGGATACGTCATCAATCTCACGCTAGTACAGGAAGGGTTTAGCAGATTTCGACGCGATCGGTGTGGGTACAGCGCGGCAAGTTGGAATCCGAGCATGTGTCTGCGTTTGAAGAAATTGTATTGCATTATGCGTATGCATGGGGTATCAGTAAATTTTGGTTGATGGCGTGTATCAAAGCCGGCTTTTAAGGGATCTTTATGATCCACTTCCTTAGAACATCTGCCTGTTCTTCATCTCCACAGGCAAGAAGCACATCAATAGTGCAGATAGCCAAATACCACCAGCACCTAGCCAAAGGATGCCAGAGCTCTGATCGGCCAGGAGCTGAGCCCCCGCAAAGGGTGCGACAATTCCTGCGATGCGACCGAGACAAGAAAGCATGCCACTCACACTACCACGGTAGACAGTGTCGAAGAGCTCCGGCGCAGACGCGTACAAGACCGCATTGAAATACTGAACACATATTAGTATTGGAAGCGATGAGTTCGGAAATCGTCACTTACGGTTTGCATAATGTACTCCAATGCGTTCAACCCCACATAAGCAGCGGTCGAAGACACCTGAGTATACATTGCCATGGAGATACCCTGGCAAAGGGCAGAAAAGACCAGTGACCACTTTCGACCCACAAGAGGCAGCTGAATGGACGCAAGAGCCAATATGGCACCTATGATACCCGGGAAATAGATAATCAGGTACTGCTCATAGGTGTCGCTCACAGTTCCTCGGCCTTCATCGACGTTGTTGCGTAGCAGGATAAGCGGCAGGAAGGTACCCGCCAGGTTAAAGGACCAGTAGTCTCCCTGTTTTTGTTAGTAGGCAACATAATGATGGAAAGTCAAGCTACTTACCATGTATGCCAGCGCAAGCAAGACGAAAGTGAAAGCGGTCAGCTTGTTGGTGAAAATGCCCTTGAGGCGCGTAAGCTCCTTGCCGAATCCTTTGATGACTTTCTTGGTAGTATCCTTGGTACTTCGAGGGGAGTTTCGTGCGCTCGATGTGGCATTCGGCTTTTTGGTGAAAATGCCCTTAAGGCGCTGAAGCCCATTGCCTTTCTCGGGGGTAGCCTGGGTAGCCTGAGTAGTTCGAGGTACTTCAGTGGAAAGTCGTGCGCTTGACGTGGCATTGGACGATACCTCATCTATGGCGGCAAACATCTCCATAGTCAACGTTGGGGCTGGCTGCTTGTTGAATTTCGCAATCCTGTGAAGGACGTCAAGGGCCTCCTGCTCTTTTCCTCGCGCAAGCAGGAACTTCGGGGACTCATGGAAAGTGAAGACGAAGTACCGAAGGAAAAAGACGGCCAAGGTCATACAGCCAAGCACTATGACAGTGTAACGCCATCCCATGTTACTGTCAACGGTACAGCAAGCAACTCCAGGCTCGACGTCTGGACAAGCCGGCGCTTCGGGATCGCAGCGCCATTTAGCTTGGCCGGTGGTGCCGTAGGCAATGCAAGAGGCAATGGCGACACCAATGGGCTGCCACATGGAAAGAAGCGCGACAAGGAAGCGGCGGTTATGAGGTAGAAACTCAAGCGCGATGGTCGCATCGATAGGTATGTTACCTCCGAGGCCCAATGACGCGAGGAAGTAGATGGCGCATATCGCAGGGTAGTTGTACTTGGGTGCGGCCTGACATGTTGTTAATTACCGATAATCAATATTGCGGCTTCATGAACATACCAGCAAGAGTCCGAATACGGAGGTAATGAGACAAGTCAAGTTGAAAGCCCATTTGCGTCCGATGATATCCACAGCAAGACCAAAGCCGAGCGCACCGACAGCAAGTCCTGCGTTAGCGATCGCAAATATATCTCCAGTGTGTTCGTCCGAAACTCCCATCTGCAAACGCTTTAGTACAGGGTACCCGCTTTGTCTGGCCTAACTCACCTCTTGGTAGATGGCAGAAGCAATTAAACCAACACCTTGTGACCAGGCGAGATCAAGGAAGTATCCAAAGCCACAGAGGAACCAGATGCATATCTGGTATCTGCCCATTCCAAATTTATCGAGCTCGACATTGATGAGGGCGGCCTTCTTCTCAAAGGTGTTGAGCGGGTTTGCGGCTGTGCCTTTAAGAATTGCAGCGAAAGACAAGTCGGTTTGGTCGACGCGTTCTACGTCGTTATAGATGGGGATTTCGACTTTAGCGCGCGCATTTTCGGGGTGCTCGACGGGTATCTTCTCCTCGTCGCTGAGGTGCGCAGGGCTGCGCTCCGGCTGCTTGACATCCATCTTGACGGCGGCAGGGCAAGCTACTGTCAAGGGCAGGGTATTGTCAGGTGACTGCGCGTAGACTGGGTGAGAGTGAGTCGCCGCGTGGTAATGGCAGTTTACAGGGTCGGTACCGTGGGACAAGGTATGTTATACGTACGCGGGGAACGAGTAGCTCTTTCACGCTACCGTCGACTACTGGCGAAACGGATCTAAGCGATGAAGGCGCTACGATCTAAGTGCTGATCCAAGCCTCGTCCGTTCAACGGCCCTCATGTCCAAGACGGCAGAGGTTTAGCTGATCCGATCTCATTGGGTGCCACCAACTGATGACGGCATAGCCAGTAGCCTTGTCGCGCGACTTTGCCTGACCCTGTTCTTGCATGGTTTTGTTCCTTCGGCATGGCCGTGTAGCGATAAATCTTGGACAGCGACTAACAAGATGCACTAACAGCTCAGCTGATTAGAGTCTGATAGGTTCGCCGTTCCGTCGCAATGCGATTGTAGAACATAAGCGGCGGCAAATGGACGGAAACCAACAGAGATGCACTACGCAGTGCCTAGACCAGTGGCTCCGCTTGAGGCTGAGGGTTACGCAGGAGGAGCAGCTGCACCGTCATTTTCTGGCACGCTTGCTGCAAACTCCTCTCCACTCTCCAATATCACCGCGGAGCTCCACTACCAATCTCAATCTCGCCATCCACAAGACTGGCGCTGGTACCGAGATCTCTGTTTGCCATGACACGCCCTCCCCAGTTTTTCGAGATCCTAGGTTCGTTATCGGCGACTGCCCTTTCCATATGTAGTTTAGTGTAGAGCCCGATAACGCCACACGAAACATTGAAGTGATCGCATGGCCCGCCTCGGTTACCTGCACACATCCTCACGTCACGATTGATGACTTTTCTCATTGTATCCACCACTGTCTAGGTAGCTTGAGTGCGACTGACACGAGATGACTCCCCTAAAGATTCGTATGGAGGTCATCGTTAGCTCTCCGGCTAACCTGAAAGCGTTGTCTCTTCACCGAGCGCGCCAGGACGCACTCGGCTCACATCTGCCGTTCAAACGCCCAGCAGAGAGGTCGTTGTCACTGTCACAGTTCATCATTACCCAAGCGGCCTTCTGGATTGAGGAGCTAATCAAACGGTATCTATACGAAATCTGCAAATTCATAGCTTCTGTCGAACTCCGCGATCGCTGCTGCAAGCTTCAAGGACAAGTTATCTGTGTTTGCATAGTGCTTCATATGTCTCTTCCATGGATACCGCAGTACTCTTTTGAGCGTTTTCCGATTCCATTCCCCGATCAAAGCTCGCTGCTCACGGTCTTTTATTTGAAATATGTACGCGTTACGAAGGTGCAGCTGACATTCTAGACATTGAATATCCTCAAGCTTACCTGTCTATATAAGCACCCTTGCGCCGCGGAATAAGGAGCTCTCTACAACACATCGCATACATACACCCAACACGCAAATAAGCAACATCTTGTACAATTTCCAGTATACGCAACCAATCTACCTATCTACACCAATATAACGACTCATCGCCTTACACCATATCATCAATCATGAGCCACTCTTCCCCTATGGACTTGCCTTCGAACACTATCCAAACCGAGGAACAAGACCCACAGAACTGGATCACATACTGTGACGTACATCGCCTTCCGTTGCTAGCCGATGAAACAAGGCCAATCTCCATCGGAGAGAACGTTCTATCCAAGGCCTCAGGCAGGTTTCTATGGGCAGACTTGATGTTCGAGATCGTCAAACGGCAACCCACTACATCTAATATCACTGCTTGCCTGGAGACTGCGCCGGATGATGCTATGGAACTGGTTCCATTGTTGTTGCAGGTCTACAGCAATGTACTTACACGAGAAGAGCGTGAAGAGCTGTCTTGGATCATATTACTCCTAACACACAACCAACACACTGGCCACACCTGCACCCTTGCAAGTCTCGATCGCATGTTGTTCGAGACCTCGCTGACCGGCCGCACGGGCACCTCTCTCGGTGAAAGAATACGCGACAACTTCACTCCTCTGTTTGATCTCGAACAAGAGGATGGGATCACTCTCAGTCATCTCAAGATCCACGATCCTGCACGCGCTTTTGGGCTTACGTGCACACCTTCCACGACGACTGTTACTTTTGCGCACCCATCGCTCACTGAGTATTTTCTTCAACACCGCGACAAATCTCTCAACGGGAGGGTGAAAGATGCCCCTGTCTTCAACAGCGCTGAGCTACATTTTCGCCTACTACAGCAATGCTTTCTTAGTTTCGCTGAGCCTCAAAGCGAACCTTTGACCGAAGCGGCCAAAGCGGCCGAAGTGTTTCGGAAGTACGCCGCTACTCACTGGTACACCCACCTCGCAGGCACTTTACCGAGTGACAATGTCGAAGCCCTGAATCTTTCGGAAGACGACCGTGAAGAGATGTTAGGGCCTCTTGAACATTTCTTCAAAGATGAGAATATCGTGCAGCACTGGTGTCAGCACCTACCAGCAACATTCTTCAGCAGAGCCAGATCCGAAGATGTGGGCGAGTTGAAAAGTCTTTGCTATTACCACTCAGACCCAGAAGCGTTCGAGTTTATCAAACTTAGCGCCTTCATGAGCTCCAAGAAGTGGCAGGACTTCTGGCTACCAGTAGCAAAGGTGCACGCCAAGAAAGGACTACATGGCGACTGGGATCGAAACCACTCACTGCAGGTAATCTTCCACATCAAGCACCTCGTCGATACAGAAGATGCGGTCGCAGATATCCGAGGAGAGTTGTCCCAGCAAGAGATGACTGAGGCTGCGGAATGGACCGAGTTGGAGTCGAAGACAGATCCGCCTGAATTCACCTTGAAAGAAGAGAGCTCAGGGTTTGAATAGGAGGAGACATCGTCTTCTGTGGCGACTCAGAGTATCATTGAGGCATGATTGTGTTTGAGTCGGATGTGCTAGGAGGTTTGAAGGTAGATGTGAGCAGGTCGAAAACAGTGTTATGATGCAGCCAGTAGTACTTCAAGATACTTAAATCTATTCTGTAAACGCATTGGCCACACTGACAGCTATCCGCCTATCGCAAGATAACCCGAAAACGTGTTGCATAATCGCTGTATTGATTCATGCTACACGCCATGCAAGATGAAGAAAGACATATGGCCTCGCCGAATAACTCCGACCCATGCTATATATCCAATCACCTTTCTCGTATCCTGCCCATCCCGTCCACCTTCTCAGTCTTCTCATTCAACCGTCTCCACCACGTCGTTTGACTTTAGAGGAGCCATCACGATAGGTCTCTGGTCGGTCTGCACAGCAAATCCCGACGCACCTGTCGATCCACCCGCAAGCGCCTGCCTCAGCTGGTTTAAGATGGTAAACTCCGTGCGCAGCTTGACGGCATATACAGCGACCTTATAGAAGCCCTGCATGAAGAAGCGACCGCTATAGGCCAAGCCCAGGACGCTGGCATCGAGCATGATTATGAGGACGTTGACAGCGATGAGATTGCGGAGGTTGTCTCGAGTGGTGCGACGACTATTGCCGAGGAGCTCGAGGCTCTGGAAGTACTTCGATGTTTGCCAGATGTATAGCATTCCGATAATGCATTCTTGGGTGAAGAAAGCGCCGACTTGCACTTTGTCCCAGATCAGGTTGGCCTTCTCGAGTCGTGCGCTGAAGCGTGGGTGGCGCTACGATCAATTAGTATGGTACGGCTGCTTGCAACGAGAGACGTGCAGCAATCATCCCGAACAAGACTGTGGTAAGGCCAAAGATGACCGAGTTAGTAGTAATCATGTAGAGGATATAGCGGTCTTTCTTCGTGTTTCTCCACACGAGGCCGAGGCGTGAGTAGAGGACAAAAGACTGAGCGACGACGAAGACGAGCCATGAGAGGTAGATGAAGACGATGGCCGAGTACGACGTCCACTTGTTGAAGTTGGCTAGGACGATCGAGATGCCGTGGACAATGAGACCCCAACTGCAGAGCAAGCAGCTCCAGAAGTAGAGGCTTCTACGCGTGGCCCTGTAAAGTAGGCGAATATTCAGCTCGATGCAGATGAACCATGCAATTCCTAGAAATGCTGCTGCAGCCATGGAAGATGGCCGGTCGGCAAGCTCGGATTCCTTGGGGTTACTGGAGTCTGTTCCTGAGGTCATGATAACCAGCGTGAGTGAGGTGTTTGTCGAGCGGATGTTGTTGAGTGTCGCGAGTTGAAAATTCTGAAGGCTGCGAGACGATGAGGTACGATAGAAAACTTTATCGGTGTGGGAAGATATCGGTGGTCGAAAGTGTTCTCGCGTGAGCGCGCCTTCCTCAGTCACCCTCACGGTGACTGCCGTTTTAGACTCGGTACCGAGAAACCGCCCAGGCCACGCGAGCACGCGAGCACATGTTGAGTGCCAAGACAATATCCTCGAATGCGACTGCTCTCCCAGAGGCAAGTCACCGTGCCCTTCATAACAAAGATCAGACCAGCAAACAAATCGGTGAGGGTTGTGAGGCAACCTCTTACCAAGAAAAACCTGAACCAGTGCTCTACCGTCCAGACTAGTATCAAAGTTGAAGCTCACGTATTCCCTAAGGTAACGGAGACTTCTGGGAGCAGCTTTTTGGGCCTTTTCCTGGTATGAGGTGAAGCAAGAACGTGAACAAAATGATAACTTTTAAGATCTGGCAAGTTGCATGACGCAACAGATGACGACCCTGACACCTGGCATGCTGTCAAGACAACGTACTTTCGTCTTGCACACCCCCAATCTCACTTTCTGGCGGAAGTGTTGACCTCAGCGACGTTCTCTTGCCTGCTCAAGATCTTCTTAGGGCCCCAAGTACCAGCTCTACCACCGGGATCAACACGACCCTTCTTGGGACTCATCCTCTCACCACCTCCAGCGCCTCCACTGAGCTCTTTGATGTTCTTGGGTGCGGCAGCCATCTTGATGGTCGATACGGTGTTCAATGGTGTTACTGGAGCGTTGGCAGGGCCACTGCCACCGCCGTTCCTCTTGCCTTTTGGCTTCTTTCCAACCGACGTCTCGATCCAGGCACCCCCCTCTTTCTTGGCCTTGCGCTCAGCTTCCTCTTTCTCGCGCTTCGCACGCTGTTCCGCTTCTCGCTCCCGTGCGGCCTTGTCGCGAGCCTCACGTCGGACGCGCTCCTCTTTGGCCCTCAGTTCCGCTGCCTGCTTCTCCCTCACTGCGCGCTCGCGAGCTTCGTAGGCCTTGGCAAACTCGTGCTGCTCGAACCGGACTTGGGCTTCAGTCTCAGCGCGGGCCTCGAGCTTGATGCAAGGGTAACATGGGAAGTGCGACGGACGAGGCTTGTCGTCGTCGCTGATGTCGGGGCACACGTTGTTGGAGAGAAAGCCTGGACGGCACATCTCGATGTACGGGCGATCAGAGAGGTGCCCACATGTGTGCAGCTTCTTCCAGTAGAGACACATCTTGAAGAGACCTTGATAATGTCAGCAACTTGCGTAGACACGGCTGCCAGCTAGTACTTACGTTGTCAGAGTGTGGCTTCAGATTGGAGAGAAGAGGTCGCGATGGTTTGGAATCGCGTGTAGAAGAAGCCAGGAAGAGTGGAAGACTGTTGTTTTAGTCTTGAGAAAGGATGCAAGGTGCATGGAGGTGAGAGAAAATCGAGGAGTGGCTCTTACCTGGGTACATCGCACATGGCTTATCGTACGCAGGCGGCAGGAGCGTCTGAGGTGAGAGAAAGAGCACCATGCGAGGAAGGGACGGCCCTCCCTCAGCGGGTAGGCAACGACAGATTGCAACGATTGAATGGAAACTGGGCCAGGAAAGATGTGAGACTCAGACCAACGGTACAAGATATTGAAACTATAAAGGGTATATCCATCGCAATACGCAGACCATCGAGATTTGATGTCCATCCATACAAATATCCTGGGTATCATATCTTCCTAAAAACATGCACTAGGTAGCATGTCGGGCCCAAGAGACACCGCAAGAAATGCCTGCAAGTATACTAAGAGCAGGAGAAAACAGCGCAGAGTTGTCTACGCCCTCATCTTCCGTCGCATCTCCGGACGGGCGCCGCGATGCTCAACCTCGGTGATGCGGCTGCCGCCAATCTCCTTGACCTTCGCTACGAGGGTGTCGGTCTGATCGAGCTCCTCAATGTCATCGCCGCCTCCTATGCTCTTGCCCATGAGCAGGATGTTAGGCACCGTTCGTCGGCCTGTCGACTTGTGCAGGAAGGCTTGTAGTTGTTGGCCGATTGGGCTCTTATCGAGTTCGACGACGTAGGGTTCGGGCTTGATGTTGTACTTCTCGAGCAGAATGTGTTTCGCTTTCTTCGAGAAGGGGCAGTAAGATTTTGAGAAGATGATCACTACGATAAGTTAGTGACTGCGCAGGGCTCGATTGAGCGAGGAGTAACGTACTTGGACTCTTCTTCAATATGGCATTGAGCTCCATCTCGACTTCGTGGTCCTCAAGCGTCTCGTGCTCCATCATGGCTGCTTGATCGCGCGGCTTCCCACCCTGTTGCGCGACGCCAGGGACCCTGTCGCCGTCCATCTTGACGCGGCCGGCGACACTCTTCTGGTCCTGCCCTTCCACCTTGACTTTGTGGTCTGTGTACTTGTCCTCGGCGTTCTTCTTCGCCTGCTCTTCGGCGGCTTTGAGTCGCGACCCGACGCTCTCTGCATCGCGCTGCTTCGCCGCTTCTGCGTATTCCTTTTCTTGTAAGGCTTGTTGGGTTTTGGTGTAAAAGTCGGATGTTTGTGTTTGGTGGGCTCCTCTTGACATGTAGAACAAGACGACGACTGTGACGACAATGAGGATGCCAAAGAACCTCATGCGACGTTGCGACGGCATAATGGCGATGTGTGTAGATGTGGTATGTGTCGTGTGATGGGCGGGTGCGCCGTATGCGTAAAGTGTCAATCTGGTATGTTGCTCGAAGACTGCCGGTTACCAATGGCGGTAGAAGTATAGAGCCTTGTTTATGCGGATCGACAGGCGGTGCTGATAGTATCCGTGGTTCGATGGAGGTCCGTGGACTGCGATGGTCGCAGGAGCGCGGTAGCGGCGCGTGGTGATGATTAAAGGTATGGAAGACGTGTGCGATAATCCTGCAAGGGAAACGTGTACAGAAAAGAAGTACACAATAACTGCTATATTCGCTGAAACAGTGCGGCGGTTTAGAGTGTGTTGGTGAGTTGGTGGACCCGGCGCTGGAAACAATGTGGAGGGATGGTGGCCCTGGCTTCTTGCCTTGGTTCGCGTCATGCCGCTTTCCGCACCTCTCCTCACTCCATCCCGGTCAACCGTCCGCCTGCCAGCGCTGTGATTCGCGACGCTGAGCCACGGTGCCTGCCTAAATCCTCTTCTGTCCTGGGCTTCTTTGTTTGCATAGTTCCATGCGCTCCCAATGTCTGCCTAGACGGTGGACGGCACGCATCGTACGTAATTACGCGCACATGAGGGAGTTGTCTTGACGCAGTACGACACTCGATACAAACCACCTTCGAGACCTCCACATTGAATTCGCAAACACGCAGGAGCACAGCGATGCAAGGCGAAGACGTTGTGCTGTGCCTCCGCTGACCACCCATCCCTGACCGACGACACTATCGAAATGCCGCCGACACCCCGACGGCGCGTGACCTCGCGTTGATGGAAAACGTTTCCAGCTTCAAACCAAGAACGTCGGATCGTCTACTCCATCAACACACGCCGTCGACTACTCCCCGCGCAAGTGGAGGTGCCGTCTTGTCCCTCTCTTGGTGTACTCGAAGCATAGAGTAAGCTCCCCGCACCATGCGTCTCACGACGACATGCAGCCTGTGACCAGGTTCTCCACAGACGGCTGCAGTCCTGTACTGGGTTTAGCGCCTCCCCATACCGCTTTCGTCTGTTCCGCTACATGTTCCAGATCGTGATGGCATATAAAGCTCACAACGTCTGATACTGTTCGGTTTAGTACCGTGGCACTTGAGGCGATCACGTTGTACACATCTCCTTGTACGATTCCAGTCTTGACCATTGCGTTATCCACCGTCCCACCATGTCTCCGCGCCTTTCGTCAACACCTATTTCCATTGTGCCTTCCGCGTCTGAAGTCAAAGCTGGAGAGCTCAATCAACGCAACCTCGAGATCGCTACCAGAGCGCTCTCTCGCGATGGCCTCGTGGTGTTGGAAGACATGATTGACCATGCAGTCTTGGACCGGTTGAACAAGAAGATGGTCCAGGATGCACTCGAATTGCAGGGAAGAAAGGACAGCCCCTTCAACTATAATAAGGGAAACATTCAACAAGATCCGCCCATGATCCAGGAGTGGTTCAGTGACGAAATCTACGCCAGTACGGGTCTATTGTAGCAAATACTGCCACGCTCTAAACACATACTAACCGTGGATTAGATCCCATCGTGACGCAAGTCACGTCAACCACGCTTGGTCCTAGGCCTTCATTGCGCTTCATTTCTGGCAACACCGCACTACCACCAACTGCGTCATCGCCACCAGCCTCGCAGCCGATCCACAATGATGCAGATTTTGATCACCCCTCGATCCCTTTCGCCCTCGTGGTAAACGTTCCTCTCGTGACCATGACGCCAGAGAACGGCTCCACAGAGGTCTGGCTCGGTACACACCAAGGTACCACTATTGCCGACCAAGAAGGCGAACACGGCGACCGTGCAAGCGGAAGGATCAAGCAGCAGTTGCTCGATGCTCGTCGCGAGGTTCGGCCACCCACTCAGCCGGTCGTGAAGAAGGGTAGCATGATCGTTCGCGATCTGAGACTCTGGCACGGAGGGAAGCCCAACCTGAGCGAAGATCCGAGAGTGATGCTCGCGATGAGTAAGTTCCTTGCTGGTCTGAGGTTCTTTCAACTGACTTTTTTTCACAGTACACTTCGCGCCATGGTATCGAAATTCGATGGAAGTCGAACTGGCGGAAGAGCTTGCTGAACGCTTGTCGCCCGAGAAGACTGGTCTGCAGACCGCGGCCACGTACGTTTCGAGTGAGCAACTGCTCAAAAATTATCTGAATAGGCCATTTGGCAATGCGTACGATTTCGATCAGACGGAGAAGATTGACAATGTCTTTTGAGGTAAATTGAGCGCAGTTGCCGCCGATCGGCCTCTTTACCGCTATTTAGCAACCAACGTGTCGGCTTTTACGCTGTCGTCACTCAATTTCACTTGTCTCGTATCCCGCTCCGCCCACTTGGCACCGCCAATTTGCACTTGATATGCCCTGCAGCTTCGCAACGTCGATCATTTGATAATTGGAGGTGTGTCAGCATCACAGCCTAGCAGTCGTATGCGCCCACAGCTGAAACCGACTCCTCATTGGTAGGGCGGCTTACGCAAAGTGCTCAGTAAGCTTCAATAGGCACGTCAGCTGGAGGAGAAGTCAAGGCTTGGCGATCATCGTACGAACACCAACATCAGCATCAAGTGGCCCCGCCACGGACACCTTTCCTCTATTTTCTATTTTGATCTCTTCTGTCGATGACACGTTACTTTGCTCTCATGTTCTGGACCAAACCAGCTGGTGTCATCCTTATCTCACCGTGGAACCGATTTGCATGTATCCAGTCATGTACACAATACCGGACGATCAGAGGTTACACGGCACAATTGCACAGCCAATAGTCCAAATGAATGCTGGAGATACGACCAAAGGCATCAGAACAGCATTGGCGGTGGAGGTGCCGTTGATGGTACTAGCTTTGAGCACCGTTATCCTGAGAGTATACTCAAGGCTAGCGATCAAGAAGAAAATGGCGCCGGATGATGTCTTGATCATCTTGGGCACGGTATGTGAAGCCCGAATTCAATCTGCTACTATGGGAATCTTGTAATTTACTCAAGCTAATCGTAATCAGGCCGCAGCTCTCGCACGTACCGTCATATCTTGTATGAGTGCAGATGACAACTGGGGTTACGATCGTAAGGGGTGAGTGCGCATGCTGCATAGATCTTTGCGGGCCGTACTGACCACTTTGTCAGTCCCGATCGAATGTCGGAAGTTCCCTTCTACCAAGTCAGACTTCCATCGTACCTGTGGCACACCATACTCACATGCAACAGCATATCTTCGAACGCCGCGTAGCGTACATCTTTGCCGTCACGTTTACGCGTTTTTCGGTCTTGGCCTACTACCTCCGAATCTTCCCACCGGGGATGGCATCGCTCCGAAAGTGCTGCTACGTCCTCATCGTCCTGGCTCTTGCGCACTTTATCGAAGTCCTGACGGTTCTCATAGTCTTGTGCGAGGATATCAGCAAGCTATGGACCAGGAACTGGCTTGACTTCACTGGATCCCAGTGCTTCAGTTCTGCCCTATACAGTTACTCCGCGGCGATAGGAGACAGCATTGTGGATAGCATGATCTTCGCGCTCCCGATCCCATACGTATGGCAGCTTTCCAAACTCAGGATCCGGCAACGGCTTGGCCTTGTTCTCGTCTTCGGCTTAGGTTTCATCGTTTGCATCGTCGCATTACTTCAAATTCCTTTCATCAAACGACGAGAAGGCGATATGAGATACCTTGGTAGCGCCGTCAATATCCTGATCGCGATCCAAATTTCGTTTGCCATTGTTGCAGCTTCGCTCCCCGACTTACGCGCGCTAGTTGCACGCAGTTTCGCAAGATTCTCGCCTCTCCATCATCGAAGTCTCGCTACAGCCGGGCGAGGATCAAGCGCCGACAACGAAGGGCGCTCAGCCAACCAACGCGATGCCGAGCAGTGCTTACCATCCTCGGCCAAGATTGGAGAGCCACAGGTTGCGTTTGACGGAAAAAGGGTTTTTAGAAAGCCAGACTGGCTGAGGAATAGCATTCCCGCAAGTTTGATGTCAACAATGATTACACACAACGAGGTCACTCGGTTGTCGAATGAGAATGACCGATGTCATCCCCAGAGATGATTTCAGATAGCGGAGTTAGGGTAGTTTTTAGCCATTACCTATGCCCGTTGTATACTCGTCAGATTTTGTGAAATCTGTCAACCTTGGAACCGACCCAAAGAGTGGTGAGGCAGGTGTTAGGAGATCAGTCTAGTACCTGTTCAGCTAGCCTCGAGCTATGTCTATGATCTGCATGAACTGTTGTACCCACTGCTGCTGACATCCATGATACCCCGCAATCGCGAAGTCGCGAGCTGAAATCCAGCTTGGCAAGTCGCCTTACATGCGAAGGAAATGCCCAAGCCAAGTTAGATCATCCGTATGATGCACACGCACCTGGCTTTCTTCCAAATCCTCGGGACCAATCAAGTACAGACTATGGCAATTGGCTTCTCCGACGCAGAGCGAGATGTGCTGCGGCCTGCATGTCTTACTGATGCTGCACGTCAATTGAGGTGCAGCGCGCCTGCATCGAGGAGGGATACATATAAAGTAGGGTGGTCGCCCGACTTAGGAAGTCACGGCACACAGTAGTTGGCTCCATCGGATACTGCAAAGCTCGGATCATGGTAGCAACGTACGACTTCATCATCGTAGGAGGTAGGATTCATTTCGCTTGCCACGTATCAATCGATGTTAACTTACATATTTCTAGGCGGAACATCAGGTTGCCTTCTTGCCCATCGGCTATCCCACTCCGCCCGCAAATCATCTGTCCTCCTCCTTGAAGCCGGAAGCAGTCCCTCTGGTGATTTCCTCCACGCGCCCTACCATCGGTACTATGCGCAAGCGCTCCGACCTGATCTAGACCACGGCTATGTCTCCGAGCCCGAACCCGCTCTCAACGGTAGAACGATACCGTACACGCGGGGAAAAGGCCTGGGTGGAAGTTCCATTCTGAATTTCGCCGTGTATCTGTACGGAAGTCGTGAGGACTATAATCGCTGGAGTGACCTGGTAGACGACGAGAGTTGGAAGTGGGAATCTGTCAAAAAGTCTTTCCAGGCCATCGAGAATTATGACTTTGCCGGCTCAAAGGATTATAAGCATATCGCTGACCCGAGTACGAACGCTCATGGCACGAAAGGCCAGTTGAAGGTTGGTCTTCCGCCTGTGCTCGAGAAGGGTGTGGTGCCGCAGATGGAGGCACTGGCTGCTGCTGGAGAAAAGATCGTTCGCGATGCTAATTCGGGAGATCCGGTGGGCATCATGGTATTTCCGCATAGCTATAGTAAAGAGGGGAGGAGTACCAGTGCAATTGCGCATCTGATGGACGCGCCTAGTAACCTTGAGGTATGGACAGATGCGAAAGCGGAGAAATTCGTATGGGAGGGCAAAAAGGTAACTGGAGTCGTCCTCGAAGATGGGCGGCAAGGTAGGTGTACTATCTGCATCGATGAGAGACGTAATGAGCACTGACACGATCGCAGCGACGGCAAACAACGAAGTCATAATCTGCGGTGGCTCCATCGACTCACCCAAGCTCTTACTCCTCAACGGCATCGGACCGAAATCTGAACTCGAAGCTCTCAGTATCGATGTCAAAGTCGACTTACCCGGCGTAGGCAAGCACCTGAAAGACCACGTCCTCACCTTCATGACGGTCGAAGTCTCAGGCTCAATCAACGACAAATACGCCTTTGACAGCAATCCCGACCTCATCGCCGCAGCTCAAGAGTCATGGAAAAAAGACCAGACCGGTGCTTTCGCTCTACAGCACTCGTCGCTCTGGGGCGGCTTCCTCAAAATACCAGACTTGGAGTCGTATGAAGAGTACTCGGCGCTTCCGCGCGACCTCCAAGAATTCCTGTCCAGAGACCAAGTCCCAGCGTACGAGTTCATCAACAACTCGATACTGTGGCCGCCGGGTACACAATTGGAGGCAGGAAACACATACATGACTTTCATCGCTTTTCTCATGAACCCGCAATCCAGCGGCTCCATCAAACTGCGGTCCAAAAATGCATCCGACAAGCCAATCATCACGTTGAACTACCTCACGCACCCCTACGACGTCCGCATCTTCCGCGAAGCTATCCGCAGCACATGGACGAAGCTGACAGGTAACCCTACTATCGCGCCGCATATCGTGCGCACGGTTCTAGGCCCTGACTCCATGGGAGATGCGGATGTAGATCGGTTTGCGAGCGAGAATGCGGGTACCGTGTGGCATGCTTGCGGGACGTGCAAGATGGGTAAGGAAGGTGATGAAGAGGCAGTTGTGGACAAGAACTTCAGAGTTCGGGGAGTGGAGGGGTTACGAGTTGTTGATATGAGTGTTGCGCCGGTTGTGACGAACAACCACTCGCAGGCTACGGCGTATTTGATTGCGCAAAAGGCAGCGGAGAAGATGGTCCAAGAGTATGGGCTGGACAGGGAGGGCTGAGAAGATCTTTTGGTAGACGTGGCAGAGCTGTCGGCAAAGAAAGTGCCAGTTGTCAATGTCTGTCAGAAGTGACCTTCCATCCTCGGCAGTGTTGAATGTCACAGCTTGTACCTGTTGTCGACTTACGGTGTAGTGATTGGCATGTGCGGCACGCAAGGCCCCATTTTGACAACGTAGCAGGCGGCCCACACATCACACGCGCCCTGCAGGTACCGGATGATATTTATAGCCGGCCGGAACTCTCGAGTCTAGAATCTACTCCCAAAACGACAAGTTGATAGTTCTCCGGATGTTGCGGAAAGACGATGGAAATACCAAGAAGCTATTCGCAACTAAGGCAAACCACTGCACGACGTCGCAGGCTGCATGGGCAGAACCAGCAAAGTGCGCGAGGCAGAATGATTGAGGAACTACCGCCCAAGGCCAAGCATCTAGCTTGGGCCAACACGGGCATATCCTTCTGGGGGAAATTGCAATGACGAGTGGTGGTGGTGAACGTGCGCGGAGACGAGGAGGATGGCCAGGTGATGGCGCGACGGACGTTGCTGGGTGAACCGGAGGCGGAGCGAGCGCTGAGCATCACTGTGTACGACACCCCGTAGAATCATCGTGAGACAGCACACATCTCCTCACGAATAGCGAAGTCATTGACATCACGAAAACGACACGACTTCTGTGCCCACTACCGCGTCTAGCCAAGTTTCAAAAATCCCGCAAGCGCATAACCCCGGTGTTGTTGAAGTTGGAGTTGGAAGGTCCCCAACCACCCCAGCCTCTCCCGCGGCTTCCAACCACACGATTACTCTAAGTGTACCCTTTTTACTTGCGCACCTCCTCCTGCACGATTACACACATCCTACCACCTTTCTCTCACTTCCATACCCAAGTTCAATCATCACTGACTCTTTTCCGTGGTTCGCATCCTGTACCACGCCGGCGCCAGTCACCCACGCCAGCAGACACGAAAGACGCGCTAGCCAACGGATCGACCCCGCAGCAGCGATACCCACCCATTCACCGCTCCCACGCCGACTGGACGATATCTACGAATTGCAGCGCGCTCTTTCTGTCGTTTCCCCCCAATTCCTGCAAACGGTCCTGTCTATTCCGTTCGCAGCAAACCTCGCTGCTCTGCTGCGTTTGGAGAGGCTCAGTCGCTCGCTTTACCATGTGGCTTCTCAACGCTCCTCCCGCCGTGCTCGGCCTGATCGCCTTCGCCTACCTGCCCTCGGCTCTCGCAAAGCCCTACCCCGTCCACTTTGACGAGTTCGCCTCGCTGCACAACAGCTCCCAGCTGATCAAGAAGCAAGACTGCGCCAACCCCTGCGGTTTCGGCGGCTGGTTGTGCTGTCCTTCAGGCGCAAAATGCTATACCGACAGTGCCAACCAGGCGCAATGCGACACCAGCGGCGGTGGTGCCAACACTGAAGCGGCAGGCGGCTACTATGAATACTATACTACGACCTACGTCGAGACTGTCGGCCTTGTCACCAAGACCGAGACGCGCAGCACCTACATACCAGCCACAGCGACAGCTACATGCAGCGACTCGCAAAACCCCTGCGGCGGAATCTGCTGCGACTCTGGCATGTACTGTCTGAAGGCCGGCCAGTGTGCGATGATTGCTGGCGGCAGCTCTGGAGGTATCACACCCGGTGCCCCTCTTCGTCCAACTAGCTCAGGCGTCGTAGTCGTTACCTACACCGGCACCCCAACCGCGACCCAGCCCTTCCAAACACCCATTCCCACCGGCGCAGCAGGCGGCGGCCTTGTCGCAACCGAAGAGAGCAACGGCGGACTCAGTGGCGGCGCCATCGCCGGTATCGTCATCGGTGTTATTCTTGGCATACTGCTGCTGCTCCTTCTCTGCCTCTTCTGCTGCGCTCGCGCCCTCTTCGACACCCTCCTCGCCATCTTCGGCTTCGGCAAGAAGCGCAAGCACACCCACGAGGAGACCTACATCGAAGAGCACCACCACAGCGGCGGCGCTGCTGGCGGACGCACCTGGTACGGAGGTGGCCGCCCTGCTCGTCCTTCGCGCGCCGGCTCTGAGAAGCACAGCACCGGCAAGAAGGGTCTGGGTCTCGCTGCTGGACTAGGTGGTCTCGCGCTCGCGTTGGGTCTCAAGAGGAGACACGACAACAAGGTCGACGATAAGAGCACCACTGTCAGTGGAACATCATACATGTACAGCGACTACACAAGTTCAAGTAAGTAACCCATTTTGTATCACATTCAGGAAATCAGGTGCTAACAACCACCCAGGCAGCGCAAGTTCATCAGACCGCCACACGCGCCGAACACGCCACTCATCGAGACGATAGTCGGCTATCCACCGACCGATCTCTTTCCAAAACTGTACAAAGTCTTTTTTGCTTTCTCGTTCTTGTGTCTAGCCTTGTGCTGGTACCTTATGGCATGGGTGGTTTTCATCTCAGTGGTTACATGGGCTTCGACAGAGTCAGCCCTACTGGCGTTACTTGGGCGTTTGAAGCGAGCTCGCTCACGACTGCGAAGCGACGAATGTGTCATGTCCTTTTTGGTTTTCGACTTTTACTTTTCCGACGTATGCGATTAATGAGGATATGCGTATGCGTGGATATGAGATATGGAATGGGGGTGCTGGGGAAGATGTATATGAATGCAATGGATATGGACATGAAATCAAGAATTGTGAATATGATATTTGGTTTCCAAGGTTACCATGGCGAGTCTACCAGAATGCGTTGTTCGTGTACGTGCTGTGCCGAAAAATGGTGTGTGAAGAATTGTGCCCTTTGTACATCTTCGTCATTGGAGGGCCATGTGAAAGGTTGTAGTCCGGACTCATCAACAATAATCAAATCCCATTCCAGCAGCCTGTGGAAAACACCAAAGTAACGTTTGTTCATCCAGGGTTCCAATCGGTCAAACGTGCACGTCTGCACTTCGGGGCCCGTTACAAGATCGAAGCCCATGGGGCGGTATTGTAATTCCTTCGCTTGCGTACCTTCAGCTACGCATCTGACACTGACAGCTTGAGTATGGGGATTGTGACAGATGTAGATGACCAGATCAATATCCTCCGACGAACTGAAGCCGCGTAGGGCCGTCGCACAGAGGCATCGAAATACAATGTATCTGCACAAGATGATCGTTTCACGCTCGGGTACCAACCCGTAGGTTCGTTCTGACCGTACATTCCGGAGCCATGGCGTGTCCAAAAGATCGTGCCAGCTTTCCATGGTCATGTCGGACTTGTATCTCCACCGTGCGAAGAAGTGTTCGTTATCAACTTGAACCACGTGAAGCCCGTGCAGCGGATTAGTGGTATCCCATGGCGGTACTTCGAAGGCGTCGTACGAATGTTGCCGAGGTGTAGTGAAAGAGCTACTCATGCGCTGTCGAGGTGTGGTGGGAGTGTGTTCGAATGTCAAATCGACATCATGCATGATACCAGGAGAGCCGATTTCGGACATCGTCGCATAACTCACTGCAGAAGGCGTTGCTACCCTTTGTTAGTATCAAGCATTTGACGATGCGCTTAAAGATCTACTCACTGGCGTCAGGGCTGGGAGCATACAGCGTACTATCCACGACATCGTGTCTCTTCATCCATCTCTCAATCTTGTGAGGTTCAACTTCTTGGCCTCTCACGCGAAATTTGAGGTCGTTTTTGTCCGTCTCGACGAGGCTTCGCTGTTGGCGACGTCTGACGATAGCCTTCATCTCGTCCGGTTTGATGTTCTTATCCAGCTTCCATTGACTCAGACGAGATCTGTATTGGCGTATCCTGAGAAGTCAGTTAGTCTAGACACCATGAAGTGATGGAAGGACAGGCTATCCAACATACTCAGCAGTGAAACCGAACTCTTGTTCTATCAAGATCTTGACTTCCGGGAGCGACCTCTTCTCGACAAGATGAAGTTGTATGATCCTGTCTTTATATGGCTCCCAGTCGGTCTCGCGGAGAGTTCGCGCTTTCTTCTTTCGCGGACGTGTATCTGCGATGGGATTCAGATGCGGAAGGGGAGGCTGTGGCAATGTGGCTTCCTCCTCAGAAATTGGCATCAGGTGCCAGTCGAGATCCATAGTAGTATAGACTTTCGGAAGGCAAAGAAGGGGATATGTATCGCCCAGAGGTAACGCTCGAGTTGGAAGTATAGATTAGAAGGATCCTTGACTATTCCACGAATGTAGAGAGAAAAGAGGAAACATCGTCCTATAGACTGATGAGTGAACGGTAGGCTCTGACGGTGATTTAAATGTGCAGGGCCGTGACACCAGGCTTCGCTGCAGTTGAGTGCCATTGGCTGCGACAAAAGTACAATTCTTGCGAGCCACCCTGGTTGCCTGCATGCGCATAGAAAACGCCTCTCTGCATGACCGGTGGAACACTGAGCCAATCAAATGGACGTCAGCAAAAGTACAATTCTGTATCCTCGGCGCCTGAGCTATGGTACATACAAAAGTACAAAACAGCCAGGTGTTCCAGGACTGACACATTGTTAGGTCCTGACAGCTGTGGATACGCAGAGTTTCCGAGAACTGCGCACTCAAAAGTACAATGTCAAACTATAAGATAGCAGGTGAGCCTCAAGCGCTCCCATCGGCAGATACTCGCAAGCTTCATTATTCTTGAGAAGGCTTTCTGGTGACCTTACACACTCATGTCTTTGAACAACCAGTCTGCGGATACCATCGCAGCCATCGTGTTTGGTCTGCTCCAACTTGCCGTTGGCCTGGTGTCTCTTTGGCAACAACGGCGTTTACGACAAGCATACCGTGAGTATTGTGATAAGCTTGTTCAAAATTGCATAGACTGATGAAAAACTAGAGCAAGGAAGCGATCGAAGAAGATATACCATCTAGAATGCGACAGCTGCCAGTGCATAGGTATCGTTGCGCCTTCCATGGAGTAGTGTGGCGGAGCTGACCGACGCAAGGCTCGAAGACGTCAAATCAGAAGTGAACCTTTGGTAAACATCGTGATTTGATGTTGGCGATGTGAAGTGCGTTTCACGGACAGTCGGAATCAACGTGGAGGTCATGCCTTGTGAAGTACGCAGTCGCGTGGAAATCTAAAGCAGGCACAGCGTTGAGGGGGTGAAATCTGCCTTCGGCAGGCCATAGAAATTAATCGCCCAAGAGTCAACATCAAATTAGGGGTCTGCAAACTTCGTCTTCACACTAACGTAGATTGCAAGGTGATTGATGTTTTCCCGGTATGGAGTGAAGGAGCGGATTCGAGGCCCATGCGGAAGTGACGATTGCGCCAAGATTAAAGTGGGATGGCGCTAGGTGGAGCTCCAGCACCTTCGCCGTGACAAGTACTCACGTAATAACCTCCTCCCTGCTGCGCCTGCAACCCTTGCCTTCCTTCCATTTACACCTCCACACTCAACCTACTCCAGCGACAAACCTGTTGATCTCGTTTGTCCTGTTTCACATCCGTAAACCACAGTCTACACCTGGGTACCCCGCGACACTCGAGCCAGGCGCCCGCGACCGCCACATTTGACAGCGTCCAGCCTTCACGACCGTCGGCAAACTGGGGAAGCGGAAACACGTCGACGAGGACGCTCGTCCCAGCAAGAAAGAGAAAGCCATGGCGGTAAGTGCGCCCCATTGATTACTAACTTGCGCTTTGTTCGGTTGCGCGTCCGCATTTGGTACCATGTACTCGGCGTCTCCAGCGTCTCCGCCACTCTACACCTTTCACCAACTTCACTCTTCTGCGTCCCAATCTAACGTATCCAAGGAAAACATGCAGGTCGACAGCCCTGCCACTGCCGTCGAACAGCTCAAGGAAGCCTCCGGTAACAACGGCGACATCGATGAATCCCTCTACAGCAGGCAGCTGTATGTCCTGGGCCATGAGGCTATGAAACGCATGGGCTCTTCCAACGTCCTCGTTGCTGGTCTGCGAGGTCTCGGTGTCGAGATTGCGAAGAACATCGCCCTAGCCGGTGTCAAGTCGCTGACACTCTACGATCCCAAGCCCGCCGCTCTCGCCGACCTGTCGTCGCAGTTCTTCCTCACTCCCGCCGATGTGGGGAAGCCACGCGCCTCCGTCACCGTACCGCGCGTCTCCGAACTCAACCCATACACCCCTGTGCAGGAATTCAGCGGAGGAGATTTGACATCAGACTTGTCGCAGTTGAAGCAGTTCCAGGTCATTGTCCTTACCGACACTCGCCTCGAAGATCAAATCAAGATCGCAGACTACTGCCACGACAACGGCATTTACGTAGTCATTACCGACACATACGGACTGTTCGGTACTATCTTCACCGATTTCGGAAAGAACTTCACCATCGGTGATCCGACTGGCGAGAATGTCAACAACGGCATTATTGCCGGCATTGATGAGGAGGGTATTGTGTCGGCACTAGACGAGACAAGACATGGCCTGGAGGATGGCGACTGGGTCACATTCTCAGAAGTAGAGGGTATGGAGGGCCTCAACGGCTGTGCGCCTCGCAAGATTGAGGTCAAGGGGCCTTACACCTTCTCCATTGGCGATGTATCTGGCCTCGGAGAGTACAAGAAGGGAGGACAGTTCATCCAGGTCAAGATGCCCAAGATCATCGACTTCGAGCCCTTCAGCAAGCAGCTCAAGAAGCCCGAGCTTCTCATCTCCGACTTCGCAAAGTTCGACCGACCGCAACAGCTCCATGTTGGTATCCAGGCCATCCACAAGTTTGCGACCCTCCACAAGGGCGAGTTCCCACGTCCTCACCACGAAGCCGATGCGGATGAGCTCTTCAAGATTGCACAAGAAATCGCAAATGAGGGCGAGGAGAAGGTCGAACTAGATGAGAAGCTCATCAAGGAGCTTAGTTACCAGGCTCGTGGTGACCTCAGTCCCGTCGCTGCCTTCTTTGGTGGCATGGCTGCCCAGGAAGTCTTGAAGTCAGTGTCTGGAAAGTTCCATCCCATCGTTCAGTTCCTCTACTTCGATTCGCTAGAGTCGATCCCTACCTCCACGACCCGTTCGCAAGAGCAGTGTGCTCCGATTGGCTCGCGCTACGACGGTCAAATCGCTGTATTGGGACAGGAATACCAGAAGAAACTCAGCAACGTCAAGCAGTTCCTCGTTGGTGCGGGTGCCATTGGCTGCGAGATGTTGAAGAACTGGGCGATGATGGGTCTTGGCACTGGCCCTGATGGCAAGATCACTGTCACTGACAACGACCAAATCGAGAAGAGCAACTTGAACCGACAATTTTTGTTCAGACCAGCGGATGTTGGCAAGCTAAAGAGCGATGCTGCCGCAAAAGCAGTCCAGGTTATGAACCCTGACCTCAGCGGAAAGATCGTGACACTGCAGGACAAGGTCGGCCCGGAGACAGAGCACATCTTCAACGAAGAGTTCTGGAATTCTCTGGACGGTGTGACGAATGCACTGGACAATGTAGAGGCGCGTACATACGTCGACCGACGATGTGTATTCTTCCGCAAGCCTCTGCTCGACAGCGGTACTCTCGGTACCAAGGGCAACACCCAGGTTGTCCTGCCGTTCATCACAGAGTCTTACTCTTCATCTCAAGATCCACCTGAGAAGTCGTTCCCTATGTGCACACTAAGGAGTTTCCCCAACCGAATCGAGCACACGATTGCCTGGGCGCGGGAGTCGTTCGATTCGCTGTTCGTCAAGGGTCCGGAGATTGTCAACCTCTACCTGACACAGCCAGATTACCTTGGCGCATCGCTGAAGCAGTCTGGTAACGAGAAGCAGACTCTGGAGACCCTGCGGGAATTCTTGGTCACAGAGAAGCCGTTGTCGTTTGACGACTGCATCATCTGGGCCCGTCATCAGTTCGAGAAGAACTACAACCACGCAATTGCGCAATTGCTCTACAACTTCCCCAAGGACTCCAAGACAGGCTCCGGTCAGCCATTCTGGTCGGGACCCAAGCGTGCGCCGGACCCATCGAAGTTTGACTCTTCAAACCCAACACACTTCACCTACGTGGAAGCTGCTGCCACCCTACACGCATTCAACTACGGCATCAAGCCAAATGCGTCCAAGGAGCACTACGTCGAAGTTCTCAACGATATGATCGTTCCTGACTTCCAGCCTGACCCTACAGTGAAGATCCAGGCCGACGAGAAGGAGCCAGATCCAAATGCCAACCAGGCTGGTGGCGACGACAACGAGTCGCTGGACAGTATTATCAGCCAATTGCCGGCACCGAAGTCTCTTGCTGGGTTCAAGCTTGAGCCTGTCGAGTTTGAGAAGGATGATGACTCCAACCACCACATCGACTTCATCACTGCTGCCAGCAACCTTCGTGCCGAGAACTACAAGATCGAGCAGGCTGACCGACACAAGACCAAGTTTATTGCTGGTAAGATCATCCCGGCCATTGCCACCACCACAGCTTTGGTCACCGGTCTCGTCAACCTTGAGCTGTACAAGGTCATCGACGGCAAGACGGACATTGAGCAGTACAAGAATGGCTTCATCAACCTGGCCCTGCCATTCTTTGGTTTCAGTGAGCCGATTGCTAGCCCGAAGGGTACATACCAAGGGCACGACGGCGAAGTTACGATCGATAAGCTATGGGACCGTTTCGAAGTGGATGATATCCCCCTGAAGGACTTCGTGGCGCATTTCGAGAAGAAGGGTCTGTCGATTCAGATGATAAGCTCTGGTGTCAGTTTGCTTTACGCATCATTCTATCCTCCATCCAAGTTGAAGGACAGGATGCCGCTTACGTAAGTTTCATTGATTCCCCTTCGTATACACCGCGTTACTAACAAAAAGACAGTATGAGCAAGCTTGTGGAGCACGTGAGCAGGAAGCCGGTACCGGAGCACCAGAAGAACGTCATCTTCGAGATAACAGCTGAAGATCAGAAGGAGGAGGACGTTGAGATCCCATACGTCATGGTGAAGTTGAAGTAGTCATTCAGCACTTCGGTTGAAGATAGCGACGGACTGGATAGTGGATCGGTTCCCAACAGGGATAAATTTCACATGAATTAGACGAGCATAGCTTGCATGAATAGACACTTCGCAACACCCATTGCCTCCTACAATACCTCAAAAGGGCCAAGTACGAACATCTATAAACATGGTCGGAG